AGGGGGTCCGGGCCGGCGGCGGGAGCGGCCCCCGGCGCCGTTTCGGCCGTGGCCGCCTCGGTGCGAGTGTTGGGTCGGGGCCGGAGCCGAGGGGGGTTTCCGAGGGGTCGGTGTGTCCCAGACCCGGGCGCTGACTAGGAAGAAGCCGGCGGGATGCTGGTCCCCGCGGGGTTGCGCTGCGGGGGGGCTGCAGCTGGAAGCGCTCACCCGTGGCCGCCGGACACGTCCGTGCAGGTGCGGGAAACTCCCTGGCACCGGGCACAAACCCGCCCGAAACGGGGCGGTTTTTGCCGTTCCGAGCCGAGTCGCGCTGCGGTCCCGTGGGCGCGGTGGGGTGCCGAGGTGTGGATGGATGCGCCAGGCGGGTTGTGGCCCTCGGAGAGCACTTTGCACTTCGGTTTCACTTTTTCATTCTCGGCTCGCCAAAATAAATTTGAGGAGATGAGTGGCTTCTTCCAGCCAGGGAGAAATCAGCACTGAGATATAAAAAAATCTTGGAGAAAATCTTGGCCAGGGTCCACGGTCCCTCAGAGGCGAGCAGGGAGCAGCCATGTGGTTTCTGTAGCGATGTCGGGGCTTATAAGAGGAACAAGGGTAGGATGCTCTTTGGGGGGGACTTCAGCATTTCATCCGTGTCGGCGTAACGAAGGATGAAAGCGGTGAAGGAATTGGAGAGGTGACTTTGTAGTGGGACCACCCCAGAGGTGATGTGACCTGACGTGGGGACTGTCCCTGTCCTGTGATCCTGGCCAGGGTGTAACGTCTGCCCAGCGGGTGTGCGGGGCCGTGACAGCCCCTTTGCTGATCAGTGGGGTCTTTGGGGGAGCCTTCGTGTTAGCAATGCCTGCACCCTGCTGAGCCCAGCAGAGGATGGACGGGTACTGAGTACCCCAGATCATTTCCCTCAGTGTACTCTGCATAAAACCAACACACAGAAAAATACCTCCCATAGCAAGAAACCAAAATTGAGGGACAGCGGGAGAGGAAGGCCATCACCTACAGCATCAGTACTCTTGTGGGCTGAGGAGATGGAGGACTAACAAGATTTAAATACTATATCAAGCCTAAGTTTTCTCCTCTTTTAAAATTACATTTGCTATGAAACAAATGTACGGTAATACAAGATCCCATAGTCACTGCACATATTTGATTTTCTCTGTAATTGTAAAGAAGAAACGTTGATGACTCAACAAGCCTTTGTTTAAAAAACCCTTACCAAACCCCAGGTAAACATGCTGTTTGAAAGCATAATAATTTATTTTTTCAATTTGCTTTGCTTTTTACTTTTCTGTTTCGTTTGTTTTGCTTTTTATTGTTAGGAACTATGCTTTGACTGTGACCTTGTAACATCACACTCATAAATAGAAGCAGGTTTATATTCAGGGGAAACACATTTTTTCTGATGGGTGAAGAAGTAGGCCAGCCACGCTGGCTCTCTCAAGAGGTGGGAAACACACTGGCAGCTGTGATAAGAGATGTCACATACCAAGAGTTAAAACCCACTAATTTGTTGTCTTTAAGTTTAACATCACTGATTAGAATTAGCTTTCATTCAAACCCATGATGGAGGCAAATGCTAATTACTTCCAAATTTTAAGTTACTGCTTCTTCACAGGGTAGTTTTCCCTGCAGCCATACAGTGGATTAAGCAGCTTCCCATCTTCATCAAATTTAAGGGAAATGTAGCTTAGCTGAAACATAAAACACTTTGAAAACATGTCAGTGATGTGGAAGCTTATGTCCCATTTCCAAAAGCCCTTAGGTACTTTGGGGCCTAAATCACTTGAACATTTTGAAAATTTTGCCCAGGGTTTAAGGAACTGAGACAGAAATTCTTCCCATCCTTTTTCCAGGTTCTCAGATTTTCAGTGAGTTTCTCTAAAGCCTTGGTAGTGGTTACACTTGCATATGCATTTCCATTCAGTTCATATGAACACACCACTGTAGTCTTTGGAAAAAATGTCCTACTCCCTACAGACCGTAGGCTTCAAGAATCAGAGTCTGTAGATAACACGTGTTCACCACTGAAGTATGTTGATACTAACTACTGATCATGTACAAGCGCTAATAGATACCAACATGCTTCACTTCAGGTACTTGGAATAAATTAACTTCTCACTGCAAGGGTATCCCTGCCAATGGTGGGTGTGCAAGGCAGTGCTCCAGTAGAGCTGGCTTTAAAAAACACATTAAAGACCATCAAAGAGGGATCCCAGATGGACAGAACTGACCAGGCAGACAGCATCGGTTCCCTCTGCAGCAGCCAGCATAGCTGGACACCCTGAGCGGTGGTGAAATACGTGGTGTTTGTACTCTTCCAGCATATGTGGGTCTCGTTAAGTTGTTGGGGTCCCTGGGAGAAGACGTGCTGTGCATACCCACACGTGCACACATGTGCATACATGCACCAGGCTTCCCTCATTCTGGAGAAGGTACCATGGAGTTCGTACCTTCTGCTGCTGCTTTATACCAAGGTATTGTCCTTCCCAGACACCTCTCCTGCCCAGCACAGCTGCTCAGCACAGCAGGTATGTCTGCGGCATGCTTTGAACATGCCCCCAGGAGTATAGTGTGTTCAGGCAAAGCAAGTGCTATATTCACAAGGCAGCATGATCACTGTAATCATCATCCTTCCGTGGTCCTTTCCCAGTCAAGCCACCTGCCACCTTCTCTTTTCAACCCAGCTCCTCCCCAGCCAGTTACACTCCCTCTTCTTCCTCCTTTCCTGTTGGTCTCATCACCCACTTGAAAGAGTGAAGAAAAAAACAGAAATGTAAAATAGATGGCCAGAAGGGCACACACACAGCAAGATGTTAGCAGCTTGGTGTCCCTCAACATAAGGGACCAGGTGAATTCACCTGCCCGGGCTGACCAGTGAGAGCCCTGTGCTCCCTGGGTGAAGAGACCTGGCTCTGCTCTCCGGGATGTCGGACCAAAGACACGTTTCTGCCAGACACAGGCAAACAGAAAGGGGAAGGCAGAGCGCTGTGGGGTCCCAGCATCTCAAGGCAGTGAGTTGACTTTCAGTGGAGAGCATCTCTCCCACCCATCTGGATCCCTGAACAGGTCAGCTGCTTATGTTTGCCCCACCTCTTCTAGTAGCTTCCTGGGAGCTGCTGGGAAAGGCAGAAGAGGCAAAATGTGGCCCTAACACAAGCTTTGATATCTTTCCTGGGCAGAGGGCCCTGTTTTCACCGCTGTGCTTACTCAAGGCTGGCTCAGAGCTACCTCTACATGCTGTGTGCCGAGTCAGTGCTCCAAGGGAGGAAAGAAAGATCAGCAGGAGCAGGGCTGACCCCATGCTACGGGTTCTGTCCTCCCTCCACACCACACTGCCTCCCAGGCCGTCTTCTCCCTCCGTGTGGTCCTGTGCATCCTTTGAGTCACCGGGAGAGACAAAATCAGAAAGGCGAGGGAGTGCTGATCTTGGAGACCCTTCTAACAGGCACTGCAGCACAGGAATAGCCAATCCAAATATTTTCATGCGCAATTCCTCTGCGTCTTTCCTGGAAAGAAATAAAGAGGTTTTAAACAGTCAGAGCCTGCCAGCTCCCTGTGGTGACTGCTGAAGTCAGGTCTCACCATCCCCAAAGCCCTCAAGCTCCCAGCAGAACGCCGCACACAGCCTGGAGAAGACCAGTAGAGATTTTCCCCAGATTGGTTCAGGCAGGAGCACCTCCTCTCATTGTGTCTGGCTGCAGAGCATTATGATCTCAGATCTACCTGAGAAGCTTCCACCATCCTGGTTTTTGGCTGCTTCCCTGCTCTCCCTGCACTTCGGGGGGTGAAGGCTCAGAAATGGGCGAGTCACTGTGAGATAGTTGTTAGTTTGATAAGAGCAGCAAGAGAAATAAGATCCCCAAATAAATCAAGAGAAGCCACATAAGACTTAAGTATGGCACCTGAAGTTGTTCTAAACCACCCCATTTATGTCACTTAAGAACTGTGAGATGATAAGCAGGGAAAATAACCTTATTCAGAGTCACATTAGTCAGATAAAGTCCTCTGTGCTATGTCAGCATCAGCACTGCCCCCATCTTGCTTCAGGTCTGTGCTTTCCACGGTTTTACCATGAAACCTCCAGGCTTCCCAGACTTTCAGATTCCCATTTTATGAAGATTTATTACAGGGCAGGTTCTTCTCGGGCTTCTTATTACTCTATTGACACAGCAGGCAGAGGCAGCAAGATTTTTTTTTTGCAGAGGAGGCTCTTCAGACAAGGACTTTGCTGCAGAGAAGATGTACTGCAAAGGGGTGCCCCTTGCCTTTGGAGACAAATTTGGGAAACTTAGGGGATATCTGTGTGAGAACCTGTTGATAACTGTGCTTAAAAGTATATAGTTTTGATGAAAAGAACAGGCCAAAAGTTCATTGTCCAGTTCCATATCATAGGTGGGTGATTTTTCTGCTCAGCATTAACATCACCCGTTTAACCTTGGGAAGGGAAATTGTCCCTCCAAAGTGACCACAGGCTGATGTATTTCTATAGGAAAACTGTAGCCAAAATGTCTGAGGTTGTGTGGGAAAGAGATGCTATTTTGCCCCTGTGGGAAATTCTGGTAGCCCTTTCTCCTTCACTTTCCCCTGTTTTGAAATATGTTTTTGAATTTTGGTCATGTGAAGAACTTCTCATGGTCAGGAACATGCCTTTGGCTTCACCATTGGCTTCCAAAAACAACATCCTCAATATTTATCAAAGCTTATAACTGCAGGGTGTACAGAGTGGAGAGGGTCAGTGTCTGCCAGCCGGTGTTTTCATTAATGGGTGATGGAATAGGGAGGCACGTACTGCATTTGTAGGTGGCACTGAGCTAGGAGGGACTGGAGACATTTTAGAGGGGAGACTAAGAATTAAAGATTCTTAAATTGGAGAGCTGCTCTGAAAAAAACAGGGCATGTGTTATGTCCTGTGTGGTAGGACTGACTGACCGTGTGGACACCAGGTGAGTGACCGGCCAGGCAGCGGCCGTGGGGAGCCAGAGGATGGGGTGATGGGCACCATAGCCCGTAAGTCAACAGTGTCATGCAGTTGTGCAAAAGCAAACAGCCTGCTGCAATGAGGAAAGAGAAGTGGCACACTGGGGAAGTGGTGCCTCTGCTCCAGCTGTGCCTTTGAGGGGCTCGGTTGGAAATGCAGTTCTGGGAATCCTCCACAAAAAATGAGAACATGCAAGAGAGGCTGAGTTGTCAGACTCTCAGCAAATAGCTCTGAGGAAAGAGTTGGGTTTCATTCGTGCAGGAAACACTGAAGGGAGATGTGAAACCCATTCTCAAAATGCAGAATGTGTCTGCAGAGAAGGAGAGGGCGAATCATTTGCTGTGTCCTTTGGGGGTAAGAAAGGAAGCAGTGAGGTTAATTGGATCGAGAGATAGAGGGGGGAAAGCTGGGCTCTGCAGGAGCTTATGGAAGTGGTTTTAACAGATAAACACATGATAAATAAGATAATCGGATAAACACCTGCCCTGGGGGAGGGGGAGGCATGAGGACCTGTGAATGCAAAGTGCAGTGGGGTGGGGAGCAGTGGCAGGAGAACATGTAGCACCCTCGGGAGCCCATGGCAGGTCTGGGGTCACAGCAGCCCAGCAGGTGCCACAGCAGGTCTGTCCCCACCATTTCTCAGGGACAGCCTCAGCACCCAGCGATGCCTGCTCAGGACAGCACCATCTCCCCCGGGGCAGGTCCCCACCCTGGCCGTAGGTTCACAGGGTGAACAGCCCCCCTGTTCCCCATCAGCACTCCCTGCCCTGTGCGCCCCATGAGCAAAGGGGCCAAAAGATGGTGATGGGGGAGGCTGGCTCCCAGCATTTCCTCATTCTGATGGCCTGGCTGGCATCCCGGGTAGGTTTGCAACATGGCTTTTCTGGCTGAAGTAATACCAACGGGTAACTTATTCCCTTTGCCAGTTCCTGGTTTGCGCTGTTGGGGAGTTAACTCTGTTTTGGAAGGAGAAAGAGGGAAGGAGTCAGTGAGCCTGGTTCCCCCACTCCTTCCCTCGCCTGCAGAGCAGAGGGGTTATTTCCAGTCAGCCTGGGCAGGACTGAAAGGTCTCCTGAAATGTTCACCCGAGCTGAGATTAAAGCAGCTTTGGATAAGCCCTTTTCTTAAATCCGTTCCAGTTCCAACAGGTACATGGTACTCACTGTGCGTGTTGGAGGGACACTCTGGGTGTGGGAAAGAGACTTTAATGTTTTCTTTTCTCTGGAAATAAAACAGCTGTAACCAAAAAGTGAGTATTTCTGCTCACAGGAAGCCCTGAATGGAGACTTCAGGTGCTGAATGCTCCATTCCAGCTGGGGCTTCTCAAGGGTTAACGCAGCAGGAGATGCCAGCAGGCACAGCACTGAGCAGAGGGCTCTGCAAACAGAAGCTGTAGGGCTTCAGCTCCATGGTTCAAAGGTCCCTCCATGCAGATTGAAAGTCCCCTGGGGGCAGAGATCACCCCTGTCCCTCCCGTGTGTATTTGTGGGACCATGTTCCATGGAGCCGGGTGCAAGCCGCGGCTGGCAGAGCCCTAAGGGACAGTCCTGGTGCAGAAAGCAGGACATTCATGTGCAAGGACTTGACCAAGGGCTCTGCTACATCAGTTGATTCCTCTTGTGGTTTGCTGGTCTTTCAACCCATCTGCTCATTAGGGAATGTAGCTAATAATCGTGTACTTTATCTCAAAAAACCCCAACGCAGAAGCTGAAGCACACACATAGCAGGCTCTCTGATGACCTGCACTGGGCTGAATCTACAGCTACTCCAGACTCAGTTGTGGTCAGTCTAAACAAAACCTGACCTTGGGGAAGGCACAAAACCAGTTGTTTTAGCCAAGGTACTGCTGGCTTAGGCTCCATGTGTGAGGCTGAGCTCAGAGATGAGCTTCTGTGCAAACAGGAACCAGTTTGGTTGCACTGGACAGTACCATTACTTGGAGCTCCTTATGAGATTGCTGCCCTGTTCTTTGGCACAGTTTGACTCAGTGATATGTTTAAGACATTGCTTTTTTAATTAGAGTTATTGTAAAACTAATGTTGTAAAAGACTAAGTTGTCTTTTATCTGATAAATCTGAATACCAAGGCAGTGAAATAGGTCTTGATTTTTTTGGCCACAACTGAAGTGGAGTTTATTCCTTGCCGCCACAGGTCCATCCTGCTTCAGTGTTTGTGACTCAAACATGGCCAGACTGGGAGTTACAGGAACCACCTAGGGCTATCCTCCTGTACCAGAGGAAGTAAAAGGGGCCCAAAAAGATGGTCTCGTTGTTAAAGACATAGTCAAGGATATCAGGGTCTTTCCAGGCAAACTTGCTGGACTCTTTTATCATTAGTATCTCAGTCCCCCATGTCTGTTGAAAGAGGATAACAACTGAGCCGGCTCACTGTTAGCGGTGGGGGATGATCTGCTTGGCAAATCAACTCTGCTGTGATCCCAGAGACACCTGAGTGGGCTCCTGCAGCCCCGCTCTGTCCAGAATGGCCAACCTGCTGCAAAACCTGAGCGAGGCTGTTCAGTGTGGGCAGAGAGGCAGAAAAACCTTGTTTGCCTGGCACTGAGCCTAAGCTAACAGCCTCTGCCAAGCCTCAGGTGCAAAATACATTGAATTATCCATGTTTTTCTTCTGTGAGAGCCCCTCCCTCCCTCCCTCTGCCTGGGCAACAGAGATTTGACTGCTTCGTTTCACCCAGCTTTTGTCTGTCTGATCCCATTCTTTGGGGCAGGAGTGGCCTTCTGGCCAGTTTTGGTAGGGTGCCTGGCAGATAGGAGCTCCCCGTCTTGCTCGTTGCCCATCACTGCTTATTGTCCTGCAAATAATAGCAGTAATTGCAATGCGGTCGGTGAACAGTACACAGGAACAAGCATGCTAGAGCTGGACATAGCAACCTCACACAGTCATATAAGGGTGTCACAATAGACTAGCTGAAGCACAGCTTTACATTGTATTAGATACTTTAATTAGGGAACTGCTTCCCAGTTAGGGTTGAAGGTAGGTTACTTCCACTGGGCTGTGCTCTAAGTCATCTTGTAGCTTCCTTGGTAAGAAACAGATCTCCTTGAATTGCATGTGCCATAACTCAGCAGGGGTGCAGTTTCCTTGATAGGGAAGATCAATAAAGGAGGTTTATCTAAGGCTGCAGCACACTAAAGAGGTGTCCAAGCGCTGTGGTATTCACTCTTGGCGTCCTCTGCCTCCGGATGACTCCACAGCATCCTGGCCACGGTGATTTGCACTGACTTTGTATGGGTTTACCTTGCTGTGAAGAATTAGCTTTGGGAGGGAGAGTTTTAAGCAAGTAACACACTGGCCATAGGTGCAGAAGAAGAAGCGTGAACATGGTAAGTCAGGGGCGGTGGTGGGAGGGGGGGGTGTCTGTGTGCTCCACAGAGATACAGAAGTGAAAAAAAACCTGTTGCCTAATCAGACACTCCATTTCCAGGCATCTGTTAGACAGAGCCCACAGTGTTTGTCTTTGCAAAATGCATTTACAGTGGAAGGGGGGTTTTCTCCTCATTCTGTGGCAGGATTTCAGTGCGCGGCAGCGATGGCAATGCAACCCACGGTAGCAGACAGCAGCTGGCGGTGGGGACCATGCTGCCATCCCACCAAAGGCTGTGAAGCAGGGATGGCTCCTGCTCCAAAGCCCCAACAGTCAGAGCGTGACTGAAATAATCACACCAAAATCCACAGAAAAGATTTTGAGGCATCTTACTTTTTAACTGCCCTGCTGACTTCAAAGGCTATTTAATTCTGTCATCCTTTTTAATCAAAATAACTGGAGACAGCAAAGCTGTTTATCTCCAAACATTGCTAACATCTCTCTACATGTTCAGTGGCAGCTACAGGACAGAGAAAACACACTACAAGAAAATTTGCTTGCAGCAAAATTCACATCCCCATGAGAGCATGGAGAGAGCTTTTGAGGTGCTTTAGATTGATTATAAAATGAGTCTGCGGTTAACAACCACTTTGTCACCCTGAATGTTGATTTCTCTCCCCTTGGCTGAGAGCCAGAGATGCATCTCTATTTTGGAATAACATTTTGTGCGTACAGGTGGTGGAAAAGGAGGGGGGGGTGTAGGAAAGAAAGCTTATTAGGCTGAACAACAGCGTTGACCCTAGAACAAATAGTTCTGGCCATGAATAAATTTAGGTGGAACAAGATTTCTAAAAAGTAAAGCAGTGAGTTTTTGATAAAGCATCTGATAAGAAGGGGCCAGGAAAAACAAACAAACAAACAAAAAAAACCCAAACAAACCCACCATCTTTTCAGATTGAGCTGCTTTACTTTACACTAGGGGTTTTGCAGCACAGCTGGTTGTGAACAAAGCAGACTGGTGTTTCCATGTTGCTCTCCAGCATGGCTGTTGACCTGAGCTCCACTTGTGAGTTTACTCTTCATGCCAAGAAATTCCAGGTGGTCACGTCTCCCTCTTCGCCCATGTGTTTCTTTTCCAAGCTGACAGCTTTTGTCATCTCTCTTACTCTTTCCATGTGGCCCTTTTCTAGGTTTATTCCCTTTTTTTGCAGTGGAGTGAGCAGAACTGCAGTGTGCTGTTTGATCTATGGATTTATACAGCAGTATAGTAGTGTTTTCTGTGTTGTTTTTGTATGTCTTTCCCACTAATTCCTGGATGAAACATCCTAGTGACTGTGATACACATGGAATATACCTAAGGCAGGGCTGTGTGCACAGACAGCAGCCTGGGTTAACCCAGCAGACAGAGTCAGCACCACCAAATCAGCCTTGCGGCACACAAACCCTTCTGCAGGTTTGGAACAGAAGCAGAAAGCTTCAGAGTGAAGTATGAGTAATTCTGAGTTTAACAGGACTCTCTTGCTCACCTGGAGCATGAAAGAAAGTCTGTGTGATATGTGGGGAGCAGAGGAAAGGTGTTTAATAGGGGAGAAGTCAGCATGCCTTTCTTCAGCACTTGTTTTCTCCTGAGAGCACTTCTTCCATGAACACACATCTCTGGTCTCTGGGACAAGGAGTTGCTTGGTGAGAGGCAAGGAGAGCAGACAGACCTCTGCCATAGAAACAGTATTGTCACTGAAGCCATGATTTTTTTTTGTATCCAGGACAGCGAATTATAGTTTCAAGGTCCATCTGCTGAGGTGTTTTGTGGGCTTTCCATGGGAAGCAGGACTGAGAGATCACAGTGGCTGTGTCAGAGATCTTCTCCCCCAGCAGTTCAGGTTCTGTTTGATGTGTGCCTGCCATGAAGCACCAAGCTGGTGTTTCCAGAGTAATGTGACCCTCAGTTCATTTGTCTGAGTGGTTTTAACAAATTTACAGCTCATTAAAGTGTACATATAGTTAGGGGGTTTTATGCCCATAGGCAGGTCTTGCCATGTGTCCGTAGTGAACTTTGGTGCTCAAGCACTTTGATTTAGGAGATCCTTCTGCAGATTCTTCTCAATGAAGTTCGACTGTCCTTAATTATTACCCCACACAAGCTCCATTTCTTAATATTCAGTCCCTTTCGCAGATCACTTGCGAGCATGTTCAACAACACAGATCTTCAGGGAAAGCCCTTGATAACCTATTCCCATTGTGAAAATGATTTATTTCTTCTTACCCTTTGTTTCCCATTGGTAACTATTCATGCAGAAGTGCCCTTCCCCTTTGCACCACTACTGCGCCAATCCCAGAAAAGCCTTGGGTGAAGGACATTTTCAAAAGCCTATGAAGAACACAGCCTGTGCCAGGGACCAGGTCACCCCATCAGAGCGGTCACCTTCACTCTGAAAGAACTTGACTAGCTGTAAGGCAAGACTGTACTTCACCAAAACCAAGTTGTCCGAGTCCCCAATATATCATGTGTTTGTTAATTATGGTCTTTATTATAATCTCTCCCAGTGTGCCCAATACAAAAGCCAGATGTCCAGGTATGTAAATTCCCTGGGCCACCTCCTCAGCCCTTTAAAAATCTGCCCTTAAGGAATTTGCCATTCCTTAAGGGCAAATTTGCCATTTCTTAAGTCAGGAGGCAGATTTGAGCTGCTGGTGGCACAGCCCGTGACTAGCCTGGCAGTTCCCTGCCCGAGTTTATTCTGACCTCCAGGGCTGGCTGGTGTGCTGCCTGTGAATTTATTGATCTGTTTAAAACCTCTCCGTGGCCTCAGTATCTAATCTGTTACAGAGAGCAGTGTGTTACAGGGCAAAATTCATTAACGTTTGTAAAGCTCATCAAGATCTTTCATGAGCAAATCCCATCATGTTTTAATATATTTTTTAAATGTCACAAGTAAGTTCTCATTACTCATTGAAGAGCTGAAGCAAACAGCACTTGCCAAACCCAAATATTGGAACAGGCAAATGCTGCAACTCTCTTTGTTTACCACATTTAGGACACTTTAATTCCATCTTAAACTCCCTGTCTTGATTCTGCTCCTGCAGATCAGAAGCACGCCCACAGCTTTTCCTGATGTAGGCTCAGAGATCCCCATGGACTCCTGGGCCCGGGCTTTTCAGAAGATGCCTGGTAGCTCCAAGGGGGTCTAAGAGCTGCTGGTCCTGGTCACTGTTAGCATTGCCCTGGCTTTGCAGTGTGAGATGCCATCATGAAGGACAGCGAAGGATGGATGAGTGCATCCAGCAGGTGTCAGATCACACAAACCTGGGAAACCTTCCTAAAACCCTTCGCCTTCCAACCCTGCATGGTGTTTTGTCCCCCTCCGATGGTGCTTGTACATTACTGCACACTTGCTGGTGGGTTTGGCAGATGGGCCCTGGGCTACTGGGACCAAAACCACGTGCACTTCTGCTCAAGTGGCCTAAGTGGCATTTTTCCCCGTGACTGCAGATGTGGTCTGGGGTCTCTGCAAGAACTTCACAGTGAACTTGCATTTCCCCTTGTTTTTCCTGCCAGGATGTCCAGAGGAGACATGGCCAAACCCCTCCTGGGCCATCGGAGCATGGAGGGTGACCCCAGCACCACGCCTGCAGCCGGCCGCACCATCGGGGTGCTGGGGAGCGGGGACTTCGCACGGTCGTTGGCCATCCGCTTGGTATGCTCTGGGTTCAAGGTGGTGGTCGGCAGCCGCAACCCGAAGCGAAAAGCCGGCCTCTTCCCTTCCGCAGCAGAAGTCACCTTCCAGGCTGAGGCGGTGAAGAAGACGGATGTCATTTTTGTGGCGGTTTTCAGGGAACATTACTCCACCCTCTGCGACCTGGCTGATGTGCTGGCAGGCAAGATCCTGGTGGACGTTAGTAACAACACTGAGGTCAACCATCACAAAGAATCCAATGCTGAGTACTTGGCTTCCCTGTTCCCAGCCTGCACCGTGGTCAAGGGTTTTAATGTGGTTTCTGCGTGGACGCTGCAGTCAGGTGCCAGGGATGGAAATAAGCAGGTATTGTTTTCTTCTGACAAGGGCCAAATCCCCACTGTTTCAGCAGCTGAGGTCTGGCAGGATCAGCAAATGGCCTTAGGCTCCAGGAGAAGGGGTCTGAGTGCTGACTCTTGCATCCAGAGACCACCTGCATTTCTTTGCTCAGAAATGAAGTACCCTCACTTACTTCATGCTTTGTAGTCTATGGAGCCTCTGGCCAAGTGAAAAGTATTATTTAATTGTCTAGTATTATTTAATTGTCTGTTTATCTAAACACAGCCTGTAAAACAAACTGGTGGTGCACACATGAAAGGAAACCTGTCCAGGAGAGAGGTCTTTGGCAGCCATGGTAAATCCCCATCAGAAAGCCTGCCAGAAAGCATGATGATCAGTGGAAAAACATAGGCTCCCTTTAGCACAGCATCCCTCCCAGCGCACGCATTCCCAGCAGCCTGATCTCTCTTTGCCCTGTGTGTATCTTTCTGTTCATTGCAGGTTCTGATTTGCTCAAATAACCAAGAAGCCAAGCGCACTGTAGCAGAAATTGCTCAAGTCATGGGATTCACCCCTGTGGACATGGGCTGCATGTCATCAGCCTGTGAGATTGAGAACATTCCCCTGCGCCTCTTGCCAGCCTGGAAAATCCCCGTTCTTTTAGCTCTGGGGCTCTTTCTTTGCTTCTTCACTTACAACCTGATCCGACAGGTCATCCACCCTTACATCAGGGAGCAGAAGAACAAGTTGTACAAGATCCCCATCGAGGTGGTCAATACAACGCTGCCTTGCGTGGCCTACGTCATGCTGTCGCTCGTCTACCTGCCCGGGGTGCTGGCAGCCTGCTCGCAACTCTACTACGGCACCAAATACAGGCGCTTTCCAGATTGGCTTGACCAGTGGCTCCAGCACCGAAAGCAGATTGGTCTCCTCAGCTTCTTCTGTGCAGCGTTGCATGCCGTGTACAGCCTCTGTCTGCCCATGCGCCGCTCCCACCGCTACCAGTTAATCGAGACGGCCGTCAAGCAGGTAATGTGGGTACTCTTCAGGTCAGCACCTGTAGTAACCTCCTGCACACATCCAGATGTTGGGTAGTGGGCTTAATATCTTGGGTTTTGCATTCACTTTCCAAAGCACATGTGGGACAGTGGATATAAGCTGTTCTCTTTACAAGCATTTCCTCCACAGGGCAACCGCATACCACACACTGGCCATGCACCCATCCACAATGAGGAACAGTCATCTTAGCAGGATGTTGCCCGTGCATTTACAGCCAGGGCTAGGACCAAACACGACATGCCATTGCTCCCCAGAAGCACAGACAAGCCTCTGAAACCAGCCTTGCCTGGCCCCTGGCATGTCTGAGACTAGGGCAGAGGCAGGAAAAATGCTAGGAGAGGAGAAATCTAGTGGTGGAGGGAGCAGAGTTCCCCTCAACTTTTCTCCCTAGATTTTGGGAGATCCCTGGCGTTCACAGTAGGTACCTGCTGGAGTGGCCAAGTCATAACCTGGGGTGGGAATTGTTTTGTAGGTGTGTCTTCATCACAGTGTGCCTCCAGGAGTTTAACAAAGTGATGGTGAAGAACTGATCATAGCCTAAGAGAACAAGGAAATGGAAAAGGACTTTATTGCCTTATTGAGACTCTCAGCAGTGTTTATGCAGTGTGAGATACCTTTAGGGAATTCTGCCAGCTCTGTAACTTGGCAGTGCCATGGGAAAATGTGATTCTGCCCTTCTGCCCCTGGCTTCTTGCTGCTGCACCTCACTCCCTCCTGGGATGGCACAAGCTTCATGCAGCTGAGTGGGGAACCTGATCACGGAATTGCCTCACAACCAAGCCACTTTCTGTGTTGGGATACTTGCCTGAGTGTTTCCAAACGCTTGTCCCAACAGAGAGGAGGGAAGAGGCCATGGGGGCAGAGGGGAGCAGGATGGCTGCTTTCAGCAGCAGTTCCTGTTCAAAGCATCCATCAAACAACATCCCCAGCCTCTCAGCTCCAGCCTCGAGCAGGTCCTTCTCAATTGCCACAGTCGCACATTAATCTCAGGCAAGCATCCTGTGTTCATTTCCCCTCTACCTCCTGTTTTCTAGCAACATCTTTGTTTAGTAAATTAAACCCATTTAATGGGCTAAAGAGGACGGTTCTAAATGTTCCTCTTTGCCATGCAGCATAAAACCCATCTTCCCTTCCATTAGCATGAACAATTTCCCCCCCTAAATGCACTTAAAACAAAGGGTATTAGGAGACTACTGCATATTCAAGCATCTGTATTTGTTTTCATGGCTTTAAACTGACTTCTCATTCTAATTATCTTTCCAAATGCGACTTTGGGGCTTGCTGCTGTGGTTACAGGCTGTGGGAGCTGGGAGCATTCAGCAGTTCTTCCCAGCAGGCTTCGAATCAGGTCTAGCTTTGGCCAAATGGTGGTGGGATAAAAAAGCATTTCCACACCTCCCAAATAAGCAAATAGTGCTGGAGGTGCAAATAGGACTCAATCTTCATCCAGGAAACCTGCTTCTAAAACCAAAACATACAGATAAAATTCAGTTCCTCTATTTCTAAGCACTCCATTTTAACAAACCTTCATTGTCATGCCAGGCTATGGAGAAGAAGATGAATATCTGGGTAGAGGAGGAAGTCTGGAGGATGGAGATTTATATCTCTGTTGGAATAATTGCCCTGGGCTTGCTGTCGTTACTTGCCATCACTTCACTTCCATCCATCGCAAACTCTCTCAACTGGAGGGAATTCAGTTTCATTCAGGTAAAGTTGACATTTGCCGATGCCAGAGAGTGATTCTGCAGTCAGTCAGGCCTTCATGCAGGCCATGGAGGGCAGAGGTTGACCTGCCATCCCAGCACGTCTCTGGCTCCGGCACGGCAACTGCAAGCTGTGCTGGGTGTTAAGGGCAAACCCTGCTGCTCCACGCCTCTCCGTGCACCCTGGAGCCATGGACCTCCCACCCAGGAGGTGACACTGAGCAGTGATGGCAGGGCAGCAGGATGTGGTGGGTCCCAGGGGGGCTGCGCTGCTCTCTCGCCTGGTCTGCGGAGGGTGCTGCTGTTTTGGGGGGAAGGGAAAATGTAATGTGTCATGGGCATCCACGTGAGGATTAGTAGCAGGCTTTGCAGGAGGGAGTCTTTAATGTCTTGGCTGAAATTCTCCCCTGCATTTAGCAGCATTAGTTAAAGATCCTGAGAAAAAAACAGCTTCAGTTTTGCTTGTGTGATACCCTTCTTCAGAGTCCTTTCCCCCCTCACTTGGCACCCAGGAGCAGCACTGCCATTCACAGCTAAAAACCTCCTAAAGTCACACAGGTCAAAAGGCAGAAAGCCTTGGGGTCATTTTCAGAATGCAGGGTTGTTTGCTTCTCTGGGTAGGATCCCCCTTGGAGCCGGACACGTATCAGTCATTCACAACATGTCAGGGCTGCTGCAGGGAGTTTGCACCATACACATCATGTTGGAGATGCTGCAGGGAGTCTGCACCTTGCATGACATGTCAGTGATGTTGCGGAGGGTTTGCACCAGATTGTGGAGGGCAGGCAGGTAACCTGCCATGGCGACAGCTGGCTGCGGGACACAGATCTGCCCTTGCATTTCAGGGAGAGTGAGCTTCTGAAAAGGAAAGCGCTGGGAGGACAGTGCAGAGGGAGGTCAGGTTTGGCAGAGCTTGCATGCACCCAAATATTCAGTAGGTTTGAAAAGGCTTAGACTGGTCTATAAAAATGCCAGAGCCTAAGAAGCACAGAGACCTGGATATGATTTCAATGAAGAGTCCACGTCTGATTCAAAAAGTAATTAGGAATGTAATTTTTCTTTCTCCAAAGTCATTCAGTGGTTTAGGAGCCTTCTTCCCACTCGCAGCGATGTCCAAGCTCCCAAGGGCCAAATTCCTTGAGTGACCTGGGTCCACCACGTGGCACATTCACAAACTCAAACTCCAGGGCTGCAGTGTTCTCAAGGATGTACCTGGAGCCAGGCTTAGGCCTAACTAACAGGGATAGCAGGGAATGAACCTTCAAGTATTCCCCGTACATTAGAGCTGATTTTGAGGCCATGTCATTGTCATATCCCATAGCCCTAAAACCCCGTGTTATTTGTGTCTCTTACATCACTGCTGCTTAGTGTGCACCAGGCTTCAAGTCTTGCTGCAGTGACCCCCGTGGCACCCCAACATGCGTAAGCCCCCATGGGACCCTGTCCCCCTGCATCACCTCCCTGTGCATCACACCAGTGCACACCTAACCCTTCAAAAAGGGAGGGCAGGGTTCGGGGATGTGGAGGTGAATATCTATCATCATGTTGAAGCTCTTCAGCAGCATATAAATAATTCAATATTCATTAGAGCAGGAGTTTGAAGCCTGCTCCCTTCACAAGTGCCCCAATCACCAAACGAGCAAGTCAGTTTGTCATTTTTCCTCTCTTACCATGGACTAGCGAGTAATTATTTACACTGAGTAGCAGAGCCTCACCAGGAGAGCTTGACCCAAGAGACTGTCCCTCAGGGAGAAGGGAAACCTGGCTTTAAAGCTCTCTTTCAGATTGGACAACGGGAGCATATTAATTCTCATCATCATGTCTCAGGGGAGGGCTGCAGCCACTGGGACGTTGGATTAATCAATCCTGGCTTAGGCATCTCATACCAGGAATCCCAAATGAAGGGAAGTGTCTCCTTGCAGCCTGGAAGGAGGCTTTGAAACCCCCTGCATTTCCCTTTGGCTCCCAAGGCAGCCTGGCAGCTCTCCTGGAGGGTGCTGGCGTTGTGTTGTGTAATACATACATGGTCACAGCAAGGTAGTGTTGCCATCTCCTATGAGTGCCTGTAACACGACTGTCGCATCTGCCCTTTGGGACCCCTTCCTGTGTATTTCTAAGTGTATGTTGGCACTGGGACCAGACAAATACATGATGGTCAGCTCCAAAATAGCTCTTGGCTGCCCCAAATGGGAACCGGCTGGCTTAGTTCATGGAAAGATACACCTATTTCTGTCCCCATGGGATAAAGCATGACAGTGCGACACGAGCTCCCAACTGATCACGTGCAGGAGAGGCATGGCTGGTATTGAGCCCTACTGTGGAAATATCACGTAAGAAGAGCAAGTTAGAGATCTCTTAGCACGGTAGCTTCTGTTTTGGTTTGTCTTTTTTTAATGAGGACTTTTAAAAATTATTTACTTTTCACTAAGTTGGTGATGCCTTTCTTGAGGAAATTAAGAGCAGATACAGCTACTGCTCCCAAACTCCAGAAGTTAACATTCACGTAGCATGCAATGTGATCCTCCCTGAATTAATGCACAGCAGCACAAGGGGGTGAAGCATGAGACTGCTTTCTCAAATATTTGGGATGTCTAGCACTTGATCCTTTTACAAGACATCAGGGGCATCGTGGCTTCCCAGGCCTGGGAAAAGTAAAAAAAGGAAAATGCGGAGCGCAGCCACCCCAGCCAGATGTCTCCCAGAAAATGCAGCAGTTCGTTGCCATTTCAGATGAACTGGCTGGTGTGTTTGAGAGATGTTGTACCAAAAGCCACATTTGAGAGAGGGCCGGGGCTTGTTACAAATTCAGGAGCCACTTTAACCCCCTCCTTACCCAGAGCTTCCCAAGTCTGACATTTTCCAGCAGCAGTGTGTGCACATGTATGTGTCATGGGATACTGCCACACTCTTAAAATACACATCTGTTGCCTGACAGGCCAAAAATCCCATTTGTATTTTGCTAAGATTTTAGGAAAAAAGTTATTTTTTGTAGTAATTCTTGCACATACACAAATTTCAATTAAATATAGTTAAATTAGATACACTCTTCTCCTATATGTCCAGTTTTGATTAACAGAAAATGTACAGGATCTAGAGACTGGATAACAGGAATGATGCGTATGTAATTCAACTTAGAGAAGACATTTTTAATGTTCCCCAGTTATTTACAAATCAACTCTAATTGGCTGAGAAGTAAAAATGTGTATGATTGCCTTTACCTTCCCATCCTAGAGGTCCTCCTGGAATTTGAAGGTTGAATTGACCTGGTTTCTTTCTTAGCTCGTGTATCACAAGATATAAAGAATCTGTCATCAGACCTTTTCTGACCCTCCTGTCGATGAAGTGCAAACCAGAGCCGCTTCCATGGAGCTAATGACTTCACGGGACTGACGGCAGCAGAAGTCAGAAACATATTTGGGTCAGGAAGGGGCTGTTTGCTTTGGACGCTATCTAGACATTTCTAAATGAGCCACATGCGACTGAGTCACCTTCACACTGATGCATTACAGGGAGCCTCAAAAACACTAAGGAGATGGGAGAGATACAAGAGAATACAGAATAGAAAATGTATGCAAAGCCTACATTAGAAGATACCATCTTCATACAGCTGTCTTTCAGAGGGCTCTAACACCTTACATGGGTGGTGGCCCCTCATTCCCCATGCTGTGACAGGGCAAAAGAAACCCCTGCCACTGTTCAAAACAAAACCAAAAAAAAAAGTTTCATAGCCAGAAATTGCACTGAGAGGATAAAAGAGAGCAGAGCTTCAAAACTCAGTGCAGTATCAGGGATAAGCACGTTGGCAGATTAGCCCCTGGGGGGTGCTCAGCAGGCTCTGCATTGTACTATACTGAGTGTATATTTAGCTGTAGATACTGAGCCAAGCTGCGATCAGCAAAACTTTTGATTTTCATGCATTTACAGACCAGCTGTGGTCTGTACCCAGCTGTGTGGCGGGTGCAGCTGAACCACAGGTCCTTCAGTCACCATCCGCATTGGGACCCTCCCTGGGCACCCCCGGCTCTCACCAGACAGCCCCTCATTTCTGTTATGAGCCGATCAGCCCATTGCTGCTGAGTAGCTGCTAGCGCTCTTTGCAGCCAACAGCAGCTTATCCACACATTTTTTGCCAGTTTGCTTTTTTGTTTCATGTGCCTTGCTGTCCACACACAAAGGTGAGTCACTGTGCGCCTGTGATGGTTTGTCACCTTTTGTGCTACTAATTTCCACTCCTACTCTCCCCCAGTACCAGCAGCGCTTTAAAAAGAAACCATAGAGGAACAAACTAATTATCTGCAGCTCTGACATGTCTGCTGTGCATAAAGCCCTGCTCAGGCACACTCTGAATGCATCCTCCACCCAGGGCAGAAAGCATCTGCTGCTCTTGGACTTCACCTGTCCCCTTTTCCCCTGCCCTGCTTTATATCTCTGCTCTGCCATAGGAGTCTCAAGCTGGTACTTCCAACCTTTTGCCACACAGGGGTTTTTTTGCCTGTTAGAGAAAAGCTCAGAGTCAATAAAATATGGATGAGCTATGGATCGGGTCCTGCTGTAAGGTTCAACTGCGATCGTGGCATATTGCAGCAAACTCCTTCATTTTCTAAGTGAAACCAATCTTAGAATCATAGAACTGTAGAATGGGTTGGGTCGGAGAAGACCTTGAAGATCATCCAGTTCCAGCCCCCCCTGCCATGAACAGGGACACCTTCCACTAGACGAGGGCTAATATTGACCAGATATTTTGACTTGTAAAGGCTTCCTTCCCTAAGCTGGGTACGTGAGCAGCGAAATTTTCCCTCTCTAGGCATCTTGGAATTTGGTTGTTATTGCAGCCAGGGGCTCAAATCCCCATCCAACCTGGCCTTGAACACTGACAGGGAGGGGGCAGCCACAGCTTCTCTGGGAAACCTGTTTAAGTGTCTCACCACCCTCATAGTAAAGAATTTCTTCCTTACATCTAATCTAAATCCACCCTCTGACAGTTTAAAACCATCACCCCTCATCCTATCCTTTATAAAGAGTCCCTCCCCATCTTTCCTGCAGCCCCCTGAAGTACTGGAACACCACTCTAAGGTCTCCCCAGAGCCTTCTCTTCTCCAGGCTGAACAACCCCAAATCTCTCAGCCTGTCCTCACAGGAGAGGTGCTGCAGCCCCCTGAGCATCTTTGTGGCCTCCTTTGGACCCACTCAAGCAGGTCCATGTCCTTCTTCTGTTGGAAGCCCCAGAGCTGGACACAGCACTGCAGGGGGGTCTCACGAGAGCAGAGCAGAGGGGGAGAATCCCCTCCCTCGACCTGCTGCCCACACTGCTCTTCATACAGCCCAGGACACGGTTGGCTTTCTGGGCTGTGAGTGCATGTTGCTGGCTCACAGTCAGTTTTCCATCCACTGATACCCCCAAGTCCTTCTCCTCAGGGCTGCTCCCAATACACTCACGGCCCAGCCTGGATTTGTGCTTGGGATTGCCCCGACCCATGGGCAGGACCTTGCCCTTGGCCTTGTTGAACTCCATGAGGTTTGCACAGTCCCACCTCTCCAGCCTGTCCAGGTCCCTCTGGATGGCACATCCCTTCCCTCCAGCGTGTCAACAGCACCACACAGCTCAGTGTCAGCAAATTTGGTGAGGGTGCACTCAATCCCACTGACAATGTCACCAACAAAGATGTTGACCCTGTTCAGGTTTGCTGCTTGTTAGCACTTTTGGTTTAGGAATTGGACGTAGCTTCTGATAAGGACAGCTGTCCCTAGGAGAAAGGATGGGTGTGGGGATTCATGCAGGACTGAGGCTCAGTTCACAGATCTTCTCCCAACACCTGGCATGACCTTGACTAATGCTCAGCCGTAACACAGAGGAGAGCTCCCTACATTGGCAGGGGATCATATGGGTGAAATCTTGGCAGGATTCAGCAACACCGACATGACTGCCTGATAGGGGCTGTCAAAGTGAAGTACCTAGATCTGGCAGCATGTTTTAGAGCCCTCCTTCCCTCCCCTGCCCAGTCCTCTCGGCTGCCTAAATGAAAGTTAGAGGAGTCTTGGTCTAGTTTGTTGGTAACAACATGGTACATTTTAAAAAGTTTTCTGGGTTTTTAAATAGTTTCCCAACAATCAAAAATAGGAAGAGATGCTTTGAATTGAGTAGTTTTCCAGATGAGATTATTTTTTCAAGAAATAATTGTGAGTCCTTCCTCCTGTCTTCCCCATGTCCTTTATTTCCCTGCAGTGTCCTCTTCCCTGGATGTTCAGGAAGACTGTTTCTTGCTGATCTCTGACTAGCTGCACCAAGCCAGATATTTTGACTTGTAAAGGCTTTCTTCGCTAAGCTGGGGACATGAGCAGTGAAATTTTCTCTGTCTAGGCATCTTGGAATTTTGTTGTTATTGCAGGCTTAGACCAAGCATTCAAAGAGCAGCAGAGCAATATGCTACACCTGTGCTGTTCTTTGAAAACACAGCAGCAAAGGCTTGTACTTGAGATGTCTCCAGGAGCGAGCGCCCAGCTCCTGCTGAGTGCCAGGGGGCAGTGGGAGCTGGCAAGCTCAGGAGCCACCACCTCTGATGCTGGCAGGAAACCACCAGTGAGGGGACCAGTTTAAAACTTCCCTAGAGAGCAACCCTTAGGGGGAGCTGGAAAAATACAGGCAAAATGCTGTCTCTGGGTGCTTGGGAGCCATGATCTCAGCTGAAACTGGGGGAAGTTCTTCACTGCAGAACAGGGTCTGCATTCCTGCTGCTTCCCTGAGTGGATAAAAGGCTCCTGACTCCCCATTTCAAGGACTTAGTCCATCACAGCCTAATGGTCTGCCTTACAAACCAGCATAGATCTGTCAGACAGAGAGAGAAACCCTTCAGGGCTGTTGCTTACCTCAGAACAGAGCACTTCTGTCTCCACTATCTCATTTTCCTGTAGATGATGGCAGTTACCTGAAGGCCTCTTTGCTCTGTGCAAAGCTACGGCTTCACCAACTTCTGACCAATGCCAACTGCTGGTCCAGAGCCACAGTAACGATGCTTCACCCCGCCAGCCACCAGCCTCTCGCCAGCCATGGACCGGCAGGCAGCGGAGCTCACAGCTCCGGCTCGGGAGGAGCATTTGTGAGCTGCCCGTGGTTACGTGCTCAGCAGGGGCTGGGGGCTGCTGCTTCACACGGAGGCAGGAGCCCACCTCTCAGCCAAATTGGCAGCATCTTCTGGGAAACTCCTGCTGAGTTTCTAATATCACACTTAACCTCTGATTAGAAAAAGAAAAATGCAGTCTGGCACACTACCCACAAAAGACTTCCAGCCGCATTTTATTCTGTCCAAGAAACGTAGGAATACTCATTTCTTTCTCTGTGCTATGAACACTTAAAAAATAGTGTAAAAAAATACAGGAAAATAGCCAGGCACAAGGTCCTCTGCTAACTGGCATGTGTTTCTCTTCCTTTTAGTCCACCCTTGGATATATTGCCTTGGTAATCAGCACTCTACACACACTCACATACGGATGGTCAAGGGCCTTCGATGAGAACCAGTACAAATTCTACCTGCCTCCGACCTACACCCTCACGCTGCTTGTCCCATGTACTGTGATCCTAGCAAAAATCATCTTCATTTTGCCCTGCATCCGGCAAAGACTTCTGCGAATAAGGAGGGGCTGGGAGAAGGGGAGATACGTGAAGTTTGTCCTGCCCAGTGCAACGGGGGAATATTCAAGCGGGGAAACCTCTAGCAACGTCTAACAGAGCCCCAGCTGTGACAGACGATTTCAAAGTGCTATCAACATTTATATAAAGGTGTTTCTTTTTCTTAAATATATGTATGTTTTGGTATAATTGTATTGTGGGTAAATAATAAAATCTGGTGACTTTAGAAAACGGATGACCATAAAACTAGTTTAAGACAGTGGTAGTTAAATTATATTGCTGATTTGCTAGGACAATTATTGCCTTAAAAATGACCGTGAAAGCCAAGCTAGCAACACTAATACACATGGGAAACTGATGGACTTTGTTAGTCAGATCAGTCACTTGAGGTGCTGGCTGACAGCTCCTCAGACCAGTACTTTTTGGTTGCTTCCCTAGCTGCTCTCATAAATTTCAATGCCTTTTTCTTTTTTTTTTTTTTTTTGTAATACAAAGTAGCACAGATTTCCTGGGGTTTATGACAGCAAAAATATCCTGCCCCTTCAGTGTCTGGCTCAATCAAGACAGTGATGTTTAGAAAGATGAATTGTCTCTGCTTTTAGTCTCCTCGAGAACTGTATGAACAACAAAGAACAGCAATATCTATGTTCCGTAGCATCTGCAGATGTTACTAAAAGCATCCAAACCTGACAGCAAGTCCAAGTATCCCTGTTCTCTCACATACAGACAACACTTCTGGTCCTGTAAGCTGTGCCTGGTGCATGCTTATAAGCTACAGAAACAAAGCACCTTATCCAGCAGAATAAAAGCATTTGAAGAGAGAGATGTCCCTAATATCACATGTCTGGTCTGCACTGCTAGCTCTGAGATGACAGCTGCTGCTGCTGCAAGTTCTCTGTTTTACTAAGCCAAAGTTTCAAGCAGTATTTGATGGAAATAGAGCGAAGATAATTATCGGAAAGACCTGCTGCTTCACAAAATTACATAGAGAAAACCAAGGCCTTCCAGCTGGCCTTACATCAAATATTAGGGCGAAGCTTTTAGAAATCATTGTCACCTGAACATGCCCATTTATGCAGACAAAACAGCAGCTCTAAACCCACCAGTTTCTCTAGCAGTCATAAGATCTTTGAACAGTCTTACAAAGGGATCAGCAAGTCTTGATCACAACATGAAAACACAGCAGTTGTACATTTTGAGCACAGTCCTTCATTGTGTTGCACCTTAAGAAGTCACTTGCTAGATCACATAGCAGGTATCAAATGCTCTTCTGACTTCACAGCCACTTTGGACAAAGTACAGGGCAATGAAGATTTCTGTCCTAATTTCTTTTCCTACCTGTCACTTTCTATCCTTTCAAGCTCTTGCTCTTTATCAGAGTAATTCTTTAGGTTTTGGACATCCAAATCACCAAACAGAGAATGGACAGCCATTCACAAAAGCTCATTTAAATGCAAGCAATCGTGATGACTTTACCTCACTAGGTCAGATACAAGGACATGGCTAGAAAAGCCTCATTTTCCTACAGTTAAGTCAAAGACACCACTCAGTGTTCAGTATTGTTTTGAAAAACAACAGCTGCCAGCATCAAACAAGGTGCCGTTTGTGGGACAAGAAAGTACTTGTTACTAGACCAGTTAATGTAAGTGGGGGGGAATGATCAAATTTGGGGCACATAAGCCCTTCTGCAAGCCAGAATTGCTTCTGTAACCTGGATGATTTCTACACCATCAGAGAATCTTAAGAATTTCCTCTTTAGCTTCAAATAACTACAGTGAGTAATATTATCAAATATTCCTCTCAGTGCCAGTGATGATATTTCAGTTCTCGCCTACAGCTTATGGTAAAGTCTCCAAACACTTCTTTTCACTGAATAGAAAGCAAATGGTATGAGGGAAATGCCTAGATTTCATAATCGGCTGATGTTTTGGGGGGTTTTTGTAATTTTTTTTTTTGGCAATAGCAGGAGGATACCATTCTTTCCTACTCTCCCTTTCAGAACGTTGCAGTTATTCAGGTTTCCCCATCCACCTCCACAACCTAGCCCAGACAGGCACCTGATCAAATCACTCACCAAGCAGACTGATTACCCAGCACTATTTATTTGTGGTTGAATGGTAGGTTAAGTTTCTGCGTGGATTTGAGACAGTGTCACCTGTATAGTTCTACCCACTCCAGTTTAAGTCATCCTTGAGGGAAAACTGGATTCATCAAGCTTGTTCTTTTAGTCTTCTCTTCCATTTCATTATCAAGCAAAGTCAACAGAAAAGCACCAGTTTACACATTTTCAGGTTACAATAGTGTATTCCAATACCTCTTTTTTCCGACCTAAGCTCCTTTTCACATCTTTAGATCAGGCAAGACTACTGCCTGATGGTAAAAAAAAAAAAAAAAAAAAAAAAAAAAAAAAAAAAAAAAAAAAAAAAAAAAAAAAAAAAAAAAAAAAAAAAGATTAGGAGGCAGGGAAAAAAACATTACACAGTTTTGCACGCTTTGTCTTCAAGGGGAAAGGTGTGGTTTTCTTGTGAGTGGCTATGAGGTTAAAGACTCAACTTTCTGCCCAGCAGAAATAACGTTTGCACCTTTGCTTTGTTTACAAGACTTTCACACCCACCCGCCCCTTTCCCATCAATGGCAAAGGGACAGTTTTCATGAGCAGAAGCAGAGTCAGGGAACCAGACCTACCTGAGGAGCTGGCTCCGTTAGCGAGTCAGCATGGTGCCCTTCAGATGGACATGAGCCCAGATGGACAGATGAGCCATCTCAGAATCCCCACAGCTACTGCAGCTCCCCAGCATCTAAAAAAAGGCTGGTCAAGTGTCTCCAGGTAACACCTGTGCCAACATACTGTTCAGCCAGTCACCATCCCTTTGGAAACCAATTCCTGTAAATGCAGAACAGCATTTCAATGGTGCCCTCTGTAGGCATCTGGTCCTTAAAATCTTTGACACAACAGTTTGAGTAATTCCTTCAGATTCTGGAACGCTGAAAAGTAGTTTGAGGAATTCTGCAAATATCTTTTCCCTATGCATTTTTTGATACGAATAGGGGATTCAGCAAGGTTAGTTTAAAATTTATCAATTAACTGGTTTTGCACTTTGAGTTTGTCTCTGTGTATATGTACACACACACATATGTATTATTGCAGAATATATAGCTGGAATGTAAATTCTTTATATTTTTACTTTCTATATTGCCTACTGTGTGCCTCTGGGATATGTAAGAACCAACTGAAAAAGCTGTAAGCATAAAGCCAGTTTTAATCACTGGCATGTGTAGTTATATAAAAGATATTCTGAACAGGTCAATATAATTATATCAGAACTCATTTAAGTATTTTTTCCCTTCTTCCCCTAAATAATACCATTAGTTTAATGGCAGTAGTAGTGTGATTATCTAGAATTTAACCACCAGGAAATAAAACCCACTACAGCCAGCAGCTGGTGGAGTCACGTTATCAATGTAATAACTGAAAATGATCATTGCTGTGATCCATGGTGCCAGGGCCTCAATTACAGAGTTCTGATGCATGTGGGAGGGCACCAATGTGTACAGACATACATTTCATTACAAGAGGCTAGTGATACTACACAGCACTTGTAGCACAGGATCAAACACGCTTAATGCACTAAACAAAAAGTGCTGTTGACACAGAGTTCAAGGAAGAGGGAGTTCCAGATAAGGGTTTATGGGACTGGAAAGAAAACGGGAGTTTTAATACTATCAATTTGTTCTCTGTTTCTTAAGTCACTTCACAGAAGTGGCATGCCAGATCAACCAACTTCTGGATCTGCAGTATTGCATTTTAATGAGCTAATTTGTAAGTGGATTTTAATGAGTTCATTTAAATTCCTGTGCTGAAGATTAACCTCTGCAGGTACAGTTCTCTTACTCCTTCTGTTTTATAATACAAGGCTTTTAACAGGGCAATTGGTTTCTTGCTCTTCAGGGATTTACTTACAAAGTGATATATCAAACTGCTGTTCAATCTTTAGGGGGATGCACTTGTTTCAGCACCTCTATGCAATATATTTCTTCCAGACTCTAAGATGGCCAGTGCAGCTGCATGAGCTGCTACCATCAGCCACAAAAGTCTGGTGTTATCCTTGAGCTCAGAATTTCACACACTGAGCTAGCGGGATCTGTGGACTGTGCCTTGGGTTTGAGGAAGGAGATTTGTTACACCAGGACAGTTTTCTTTTATCTGTTTATTGTGCCTTAATAAGCAGCATCAGTTTTGCACAAGGATTTTTAGTGCAAGTCAGAACTATGCTTATTTTAAAGCAGAGCATACAATATACAGCAGGAAGATACCATCTATGATTAGGGACAGTTCTTGTTAGCAGAGCGCATGCAGGACTTTCATAATCAAAGACTAAAAATAACCATTGTATATGGCCAGTCAGGAGGATCACATATTACAAGCCATAGTATTACTGGAACCTTTCAAACACTTAAAGTGGCACTACTGCAGTCCTCCTACAAAGATAATCAGCTTTAGATTTAGAAACCTCAGCACTGAAGGATCCACTACCGCTGCTGTTCAGCTGCTTAGTTACTCTTGTATCTGTTTCCCATATCTGTTTCCCATATCTTATCTGCAATTAGCTAGCTTCAGCTGCTGCTGCTGAATGCCAGCCTGATAGTTTAAGGAGAGATCTACAATCAGATGTCTGCATTTAAATAGCCATCGCATTCAGGGCTCAAGAAAACAAAAGTTGCTGTGCAAGATTCAAGCCTGCTTTCTGCAAAACCAGGTTTATTTGATTTGGGAGGGAAGGGGCAGGGGAGTAGTGTGAAGAAATGGCCATGATACTAACTGCTAGGATATAAAGCTTTCATTTCTAGAGTGCTGCTTTGACTCTAAAACCAGCTGATGTTCTCCGGTTGCATGGACACAAATACATGCGTAGAGCCAAAGATGTCACCTCAAAGTAGTGTGAAAAACAGACCAATACCATACCTTCCAATTTAAAAATCTTCGTTCAGTGAGGAAAAGGGGCCTCCCAAACTGAACTTAAAGAATACGTTCCCTGGGCTTCAGGTTAGAAAGCAGAATTAAACATTCCCAAGATGTGGAATGAGGGCAGAGAGCAGCAGTTCTTACAGTACTTCCTGGTACACAACACTAAGTCACCTGCTAGAGAACAGAAATGGACATTAAAAAGTAAATTGTTGTATTAATCTGTCATACTGGGCTCTTGAATGTATTCACTAACAATTAAAACTCCTACTCTTCTGGCTAGCTGCTTTTGGCCCACTACAAAGGAAAGAATCTATTGCTATCAGAGAGGGGGGATGCTAGGAAACAAAAGTTATAATCCCTACCTGATCAAAAATACTATATGTACAGGAAGATGAGAGCTCTCTGCCCCATCCTCTCTTCCACTGCATCACCAGCCCAAACACCCACCTCTCCTCTCAGCTATCTGCCACACATGTCATGCTTCAAGACAAGGTCCTGCTTCCCAGCAAACCAGAACTGGTGCTGTGCAGGAGGAAGAGAAGCAAGGATAACACCTCCCAAACAACCTGCACCACCATGCTGGCTGCACCATGCACACAGTGATCTTCCCTGCAGACAGCACAAGCTGAACAGCTGTAATCTCACATGCATCACCTCCAGATTGTGATCGGTGTTTGAGAATTATAGTGATAGTCTGGAATCAGTAAGAATAAGCAGTTCTTGTACACAGCAAACTATGGTAAACTCCTAGCATGGAACCAGTGCTACAAGGCTAGAAGAAAGGAACTAAAGAAGCAGCTCAAAACAGAAGAAAGGAATAATTTAGGTCACCCAGACTCTACCTGCCACTTAACTTCCCTCTCTTCTATAGTCTCCCTGGCATCTGCATGCTGCTACAAGTGACAGGAATCTCAGTAGAAAGCTCTGTTGCACCTTGTCCCTGTGCAAAAATTCTAATTTACCCTTTTAACCAGGCAGCATCTATGCATACTTCAATCACTGACAGCATAAAGCAGTGCACAGTGCTTGGGTTTGGGCTCTGAAACTCGTATCCCATCTCAGCTCATCACAGCTCAGAGAGCATGGCCCAGAAAATGCGGTGCCAGGTTCTCCTCAGCCCTTGCACTACAAGGAAGAAATAGTAGGAGCTTAGGGTCTGAAGCATGGAGGATACATTTGTTGTGTGTTTAAGCTGTGTTGCTGAAGGATGTTTTGCTCTGCTTTGCATGTGTGTCTGTTCTGGGTGGTTTTCCTTATGTTTAAAAAAAAATAGGCATACTTAAAGTCTACTTTACAAAACCTCAGCAAATTAACACTGATCTTTTCCAGACATTCATTCTTCAAATGAATGTTCTGCAAATGCCTCCTCACAGCATGCAAAGATTTAGATACGCTGGAACTGGCTCCACAAGGGATGCTCTCTAACAAGAGGAATTTAAGCACTGATACCAGTTCAATTTGCCGCTTTTTGATTTTAATATAAAAAGAAATACTTTCTGCAAGGAAAGATTCAGCTTTCATCACCAGAACCCTAGTACAGACTTTGCAGGCTAAACCAATTCACAGATAAGCACTTTTCATAAACATTACATATTTCTTGGCTTATACGGGTTCTGGAAAATGAAAGAACAGGCTGTGCTGACACCTGGTGGCGTTCTCTGCAGACAAAGACAGTTCATGGCAATAGATTTTAGCTTTTTGCTCCGTTTTTTGTTTGTTTGGGTTTTTTTTCATTCCTGAGGTAACTCCTCTTGGTTTTTTTCCAAGATACAAAGCATGATGATAAAAACATTTTTTGTTTCCACTAGTGGACAGTTCTGTCTTATGCAAATCCTCCTGTAAATCAAGAAAGGATCCTTTGTTGTGCAGCATTAGTGACAGTACAGAAAAGGCCTCCTCTTTATTTCAAAGCGTAATTCTTCATAAATACAAAAAAAAAAGTACATTCACTGCCACAGGAAATGCTACTATTGCATATCAGATGAGGTGCAAACCTAACCGTTAAAGCACTGCAAATCAGCAGAGGCACAGCAAGAAGCAAAGGCAAGAGGCTGGGAAAACACCCAAAGGTGTGTCTGTTTCCCTAACTCCATAGGAAATAGGTAGTAGGGAAAAGCCAACGTCCTGATACTATGAAAAGTAGCAAAGTTGTCTACTGAGCATCCTTGTTTGACTCATTAATCACTTGCAAATCTGTGCCAAGTAGTACTACAAAAAGGAAGTCGGCGGAAGGAGGATCAGGTGCCAACCAGGAAGACCGAGTTTAGTCCAAAATGTTCAATAAGCAAAAGCGTGCACTCACCATAAGCGTTTGTAATGCCTCCAGCCAGCTGCCATTGCTCTGAAACCACAGTTCTATCAGTCATAGAAGAACGAGTATCGCATGTTCTTGTTTTCCATTCTTGATCTCTGGATTTCTGTGGCTATTAGCTTCCCAGGACAGGACCCACGCATGTCCTGTCATGGCTGCGGTAACTCTTGGACTGTTACTCGCAAGCTCATTTTTTAAGTAAATGATCTGTCAGGGGATGTGCTGAATACTCCAAGCGTGAAAAAGAGAAACACCACAGCTTACAGCATATCTCAGGATCACCTTTAAGACAGAATGTTTACATCAGATAAAGCAGTTCCCCTAACTTTAACAGTGGTGTATCAGGTCTTTGAGGACTCCTTTATGCCGTTGGTAACTGTCAACATTTAACTCATCTATCCATGTCAGCACTTTTCTTAGCTCCTCCTTCTTCAAGAGGCAACATAACTTCCTCTGGACAGTAAAATACACAAAAAACTGTTGCATGCAGAAAGTGTAACAGACAAAACCAGGAAAAACAAGATCCCAATTCCAGCAGTTTGAGTTCAATTCCAAAAATTATTAAAATGCACCATTTTCATACCTTTAGTGCTATAAAAAGCAGCACTACAGTATTTCTGTGCCAACAGTGTTGTACATTCAAGATTTTTCATGTTTATTCAGTTAGTTACCTCTTCTTCCTCTTCATGATAATTCCTTTCCTAATTTCCTCTCCTCTCCCTTAGTAGCTCTTCTTCCACACCTCCTAACCAAAACTCCAGTCTTTCTGGAGTGATTTTTTTTCTCCAAGAAACACCCAAGCCCCACACACCTCCCCAGATTCCAGTTTGACTGCCCTTCCCTGCTACAGTGCCCGGAAGCTGTATCTTATAAAAAAAAAAAAAAAAAAAAAAGGGCTGGTGAAAGGACATCATAATGAAAGATGAATCCTTATTAACCCCACAATGTCTAAGAACACAGCAAAGCTATGTGACTCACCCCACTACACACTATGGAAAAGCCACCTTTGATTAACACTAATTGTAAACCAATGCAGTTCATGACCTCTGTCAGCATAACAAACTACAGTACCAACTCTATAGGTGGTTTCCTTCAATAGAAAGGCGATTTCACAAGAACATGGGCAAAGACATCTCAGTCTTTAGTAATTTATTAGCCAGTGTTCACAGATTTCATTCAGTATTCAACGATCCTGGAATCAAACCTACTTTGACGTGAGGCTATACCCTATCTCACTGAAAAATATTGGGACAGCATCTGTCTTAACAAGTTCTGTTATAATCTAAGGTTTTGTGGGGCTTATTTGAAAAAAAGCATTATTAAAGGTCCAATTAAAAAAAAATAATAGAAAAACACTTTAGGAAGAAACCAGTTTATAAGTATGGCCACTGAGAGCATTACAAAAGGCTTTACTGTGCTGCTGCAGAAAGGAGCCAATGAAGTGCCATTGCCAGAGTGAACTGAGCTCACAAAGCAGTACTTTAACTCTTCCCTTGGAAAGAGAAGATAATCTGGAGTCCCAGACATATCATTCTTGAATATTTGCATTAGAAAATTTATCTTTCTTTTCACTGATGCTGTAGAATTGCTCTTTCACTGTGCCACACTGTATGTGGCACTGAACGTTTGTAGCCCAGAAAGGACAGTTGTTAAAATTTGGTGTCTCTTTCAAACACAAATGCCTTAGAGAAAAGGGATCATAAAATCAATCCAAATCTGTCTGAAGGGGCTGGAGATCAACTTCAAATCCCCAGAACAGGAGGAAAAGAATGACTGTGTTTGCTCAGTCTCAGAGCCTGAGTGTGCAGCTGTCATCCAGATGCCTTGGTAGGACAGTCCTGAGACACTGATCTCTCCTTATGCCATCCACTTCCTACAAAGTTACCTTCAACATTGTAAATTTGGGTGAACAAGGCTGGTGTACTCTGGAGTGCAATGCATTAGCTTAAACTGCCTGAGAAGATGAGTACAAACTCATTTTAGCCAGACTGATCGGCAAACATGACAGATGGTGTAAGGAGGTAGCTGAGACAGGTTTGGGGAACAGGTACCAGGGGAACAGGTACCAACTGTTTGGGGAACAGGTACCAGCAACAAAAAGATGGCCTGGACAGAAGGAGGAGGCAAGGAGTAAGTTCCCCTCACAAATTCATCATAGCATGCATAGCAGCATCTAAATCTCAACACAGGTGACTTAAGTGACACAGGACTCCTCCTTACAAGATCAAGATACAATCACCCTTTTAATCGTAAATGACAAAGTAGTAGACTTTCACAAGAGAATAAAACTCTGAAACAAAGCTGTTGGTGAGTAACACCAGCCACCAAAACCAGCCTAAACCTGAGAGTTGTCAGGAAGGATGAAGAAAATGAGGTGGGAACAATACATAGAGCCTTCTTTGGCCCTACATCTAACGTAAAGAGAACTTTTATTTAGATACTTTGGAAATCACACATCTGTTTTCACTATCACATGTCAAAAAAAAAAAAAAAAAAAAAAAATCAAAGCTCTAGGAAATGGTAATATTACTTTTCTGGAAAGCCTCTTGTGGAAATGGTGTTGTCAGCTCTCATCCAGAGCTGAGGGTAGATGCGTGGGTATAAAAGCGACTGCACATGAGGTCTCATTTGATTTAACAGAGCCTATCTCAAAACACCTGCTAAGGCAGAGAGCCAGCATCACTGCCATTTCAGTGTAGAGAGGCTTAAAGGCAGTGTCCCATCTTGGTACTCCCGATAAGCAGTTTCATAAGCAGTACCTATCTAAAGGTAGTCTATTGGATGCATGATTATTTTTAATTATTCTTGATTTTGTTTATGTAGGAGGAAAGCTTGGAATTACCAAGAACTAACATACAGCAACAGAGTATTTGGCTCTTGGAAAGCAGGGAAGAATCAATTCCAGTCTTAACGAAATGTGGCCTCTCCTCACAAAAATGCAGTCATTCAGGTTTTATTCTTAAAACTGAAACCATGAGCTTTCACTCCATTTGGAAAAATGCCCAGTTCCTACCAGTTCCTGGCAGAACTCAGATTGCTACCTCTTACATGAAAGTGTCTCCATGAAGTAACACTAGAAACAAGCGCAATGGTCCTTGAACACAAAAGCCTCCCAACAGTCATTTGTCCCTTTCAGCACACTAAAGGGGGCTGGAAGAGAGTATAAATGAAAGCATTCACCAGTGAAAAGCATGAAAAACTTGCCAGTCTGCACCATTTAAACAAAAGAGACCAAACATAAAATGAGAGCAGTAAAGCTGTGACTTGAACAGAGAGATACTCTTCTCAAGCTCTCTAAAATACCCAGTGATTTGGTCATAAAACGTCTCTGTTTTCATTAGAAGTTAGTACTGTGATGGGATCTTACTATTGTATAATCTCCATATGTAAGTAATGTCTGCTGTAGGATCACACCAAGAATATGTGTCACAGGTCAGAAATTGCACTGTCTGCATCGTAGGAGGCAAGCAAAGGAAAAAGAAATGCCAGAAAGAAAAAAAGTCACTTACGTCTCCCAGTTTTTTCTTCCTCAGTCTTAGCATATTGACAGAAATTAATTTCTATAGGAAGGGAATTGCACTGTTTGCAAAGCAATCCTCTAGGATTTATTGATCTTTAAGAAAAATCTCATTAAGCAGAATAAGGAAAATTTACAACAGGTATGGGAAAACAAAACAATCTCTCGGGATCTTCACCAGGCTGAAACAGGATTAGCTTTGTAGTTTCTGTAATCTTCCTCACAGAAGAATGCTAATTCTGTCTCGTTTGCTAGAACGAATAAAAAAATTAAATATTTAGCACATCAGCAAATGAACCACCCAACAGTCAGCTATTTAGAATCTTAGAAGACAACGGGCAACTTTTTGGTCAAAGACAATTATAAATCACCACACACATCACTCCCCCACCCCCCATATTTTTGCAAAAAAGATTCCAGTATTAAAGATGCTGTTTAACCTTGTTAAAAAAAAAAAAAAAAAAACCACACACAACAAGAACCTGAATATATAGAAGTAAATATGTACAGAAGACCCCTCAAGATTTGTTTAATGCAGCCTTCAGAATTGTTTGTATAAGCATTCAGCAAATTAAGTGATTGCATTTCTAACACCTTCAAATGCTAGAAAAATAATAAAGCTTGATTTTCTATTCTTTTGTGAAATTTTCTGTTAAGAAAGGGAAAAAGAAACTGTTTTTTCCATTAAATTAGCCTATAGGTATAATAATTTAATACTTAGAGGATCAGTAGAATATTTTACAGATCACTTTACATTCTCCCTCATGACCCATCAAAATATGTGTCTGAAGAAGTTAATTTTTTTGCCCTGCTGATGATTAATTCATGAGACTTCAACAATATGCAAAGTGAAAGACACAAATTGGCTTCTCCAGCAATACCTTCAAATACCCCTAATTATTCACAGGGGATATGGCAGAGCTAAAGGACCCACAAAGGTTCAGAGCAGTCACAATTCTTTCAACCCAGTAGGTCAAGGACTTCCTCTTCTAAAACAATAAGTCAGCAACATTACTAATTCAGAACAGAGACAAATCTGATGGAAAGCCTTCACAATTATTAAACATAGAATTCTTTAAGGTGCTGAGCCAATAAGTTCCACATTCGTTTTTTAAATTAAACCTGAAGTTAATGAAGTCTGCCTGTCTTGTAAAAAAGAAAAAAAAAAAAAAAGAGCAGAAGGGGTTTTAGAATCTCAACTAGAAAACAGAGAAGACCTTTTGCAATGAATACTGAACACTTTATTAACATATACCTTTCTTAAAAAAAAAAAAAAAAGGCAAGCATTAACTTTGCTGACTAGATAATAACTGTAATAATAATCACTACCACAGAGGCTTTCCTGAGGATACTTATCTAATGTCCTCATAATTTATAACTCTCTAGCCCAACCCTGTAAAGTGCCAAGGGCAATCAACTGCAGCTTAGAATAGATGTTCTCAGTGTCTTCGAATTTCCCAGATTTTCTAACGGCAATTCTCTGGTTTATTGGAGTAAGTCTTATCCAGATTAGATATTGAAAAAATGTAATATGTCAATAGGCGATTTCAAATCTTCTTACTGATTTAAATGAAACTGTACAAAATGAGGACTAGTGGTATATACCATCATACTTCACTTCCTTGGTTTAGTCTTTTCCACTTCTTTAAGAAGAAAAGTAAACTCTTCAAGATTTTACTACAAAGACCCCACTCCTTACTTAGCTGATTTTCATATCAAGATGCACTGGAACATATCAAAATTCAAAAGGGCATAATGACACACTGCATTTTACAAAGCAAGAGTTTTTCTTTTCTATCACAAATACACATGATATACTAATGACTAACTGCTCTCAGTTATTTTGAAAAAAAATAAAGCAGCCTTAAATTGTTTTCTTCTCTAAATAAGCAATGCCTTTCTTTGTACAGAGATACAGAACGGGCTGATCTGTTCCGATTTCCTTTCACTATAACATTTACTCTGATGTTTTGACACCTATTTGGAGATCACATCCAACTGTTTCACCGCTGTAGCTACAAACCTAGTTTCAAAGGTGGGTAATATATACAAATATTTATCAATACCTTTTTGAAATAAGACAGCTCTGGACAATGTCATTTATAATTCAACATCTGGCACTGTCATCAGTCCCTCTCCTGAACTGCATTGCCTCTTATGCCTTAGGTAGATAAAAATCAGGCTTAAATGAATCCTCTGCTAACTAAATTACAAATCTATAACACTTGAGTGCCAGTAATCCTCCGTTCTGAGGAACTTTTTTTTAAAGAAAGACCTGGTTTAGTACAAACAGCCAGAGAATAACAATCATTCATATTACAGGAACACCCAAAGACCTTTAGGAAAGGTGTACTGAGGCCAGTTGCTGTGCACCCCTGAGAAGAACATTAAAGAGACATCCCAAGTCACTTAAAACCAGAAATTAGATGGCAGGAAACAAAAGAGTCAAGAAACCTATGAAAAAGAAATCTCATTCACTAGCTGGGGAGCAATCAGAGGGCATCAAGAACAGGCAGGAGCTTTCTCTGTGAAGCCCCTGCACTTAGAGGCAGGCAGTTATGCATTCCAGCTAGGCAAATCAGATTCAAATGAGCAAATGTCCATATCAAGGTGGAACGCAACTACATCCCTTAAGTACCCTGCTGCCACAAAGTCATTCAGCCACATTTATGAGAAGCCCAGAGGACATCCAGAGACCATCAATTTTATCATGACAGACATTTCTTTACATTACCAAAAGACATGGCCTATATGTAGTCCCTTGTCAAAATGTGAGAAATCAGGTCAAGTTTCAACTCTTTGCTATGTTCAGCACATTCTCTAAATGATACTGCTTGAGCTTTCCTAAGAAATCTGGCTATCAGGCACTGTATGCTGCACATTAAACAAATCTAATCTTATTTCATTATTCCATGCTGGTTCCACTACTTACATTGCTAACCAAAACATCAGTTTAAATGTTACTGATAAGACTAAGCAGACACGGTACTAATAACCTATCTGTCAATCATTTAAAATTACTCTCAGCAGAATTATAAGCGTACCCTCTAAAAATCACAATTTGCATTCTGAACATTTGGAGTGCAGATACCTGCTGCCCTCAGTCCAATGATATGAATGTACATTATCCCCCCTTCTTCCCTGAGTAATTACCAAGTAGTGTAAAGAGCATCAGGAATAGCATTTACTTTTCAGCAGGCTATCCAAACATAATCAGCCAGTTACCAGTTTAATGACAACTACAATGAACAGCACCTTCAGTCAAACAAATGCGCTCCTACCTACTCCGGCTGCTTTCAGCGTACTGTCTTCTTTCAAAATCAGTTTGTCATCATCTTCCAAACTCACTACAAGTTCACCAGTCTACAAATCAGAGAACCAGAATACAAAGATAAGAATTTACTGACTGCCTCTGCCCCAGTCTTGTTTGACAGTGCAAAGCCCTGCCTGCATTAAAGCATATAGAAGAATATAGATAATAATCGTACCTTAGATTTGTGTGCTTGGTGAATAATCTTCATTGTATCTGAAAGAAAATGCAATGTTTTCCTAAAATAAGGGTGAGTAATCAGATAACATTGCAAGTTTTACTAGGGTAGAGAGACAAAGAGGTAAGGTTCAAAATCTTATATTATTAACAATTTTGTGTATTCAGCCTAGAAGAGGAGAAAACATCCTGCAGTCACAGTCTTAAAGCAGGCAATCCAACATTAAAGTACCACATCCTATTGGGCTTCTCTCTACTAGCTGGATTACAATAACTAATGACCATCCCAACTGCAAGACAAAACACATCAACTTAAATGCCACTTAGGGTGTTTTAACCTACCAGGCTTTACACATGCAATTGGGGCAGAACAAACAGCATTTATGCACTATCAACTACTATGTTAAATTGATAGGCAGAAAGTGATTAAGACACAGTAACCTGACCACTTCAGATAATTCCTTGAAATTTTCCTTCTCATGAAGAAAACACCTGCAGTAGAAATTTTGTTAAGCAAGTCCATCTTCCATGAACATGTACAGCCTCTGCTCTTTTTAATGCTATACGCTCTTCAATAACATTTACCTCCAATATGTTTGTGTAGTGTAGCACTTTAAGAAATGATGCTATACAAAAAAAAAAAAGAAATTGCTTTCCTCTGGCAATGTGGCTAGGGCTTTGTTAACAGAAGGGAAAAACAGGGGGAAATAATGTCATCACTAAAGCAACCAGAGATCCAGAGGGAATGAAAGTCAGAAGATGCCCATGCAGTGCTAAAAAAAAAAAAAAATTTAAAAAAAAATCCAACTCTGAAGCCTCTGTGTTTGAACAAATTCAGAGTAACACATCAGTCCCTTCTCAGTGAAGAAGCAAAAAACAGTTCTGCTTGCCTGTTCATTTTCTGTTCTAGTTTGGCTTTGTGCATTAGCTGAACACTATGTGTTGAAATAGCCTGGTAAGAGAAGGATGGAAGAAAGTTAAATACAGGCTAAAACAACTTTCAAGCTACCAAGAGCAAGTATTTAGATGTTCAGAATAACAGAGGTCACATTTCCATTCAGAAGTTTCCCTCCCACCACTCTGGTCCATTTTGAACATTTTATTTAGAACGTTACATAAGGTAAAAACTAGTCTGTATTCCCACCACAGAGGTCACTGAGAAGGCAGCCACAGGATGCTGTAATAACTGCAGTATTAGAAGCAAGACATATATTAAATTGCAATTGCCAGGATCCATCTTGCATAGAAGCACTGCAAAAGACCAGACAACCACAGCAAAAATATACTGCAATCATGAAACCTTTCTGCTGCAGCAAATACAATCCAGCCTCTGCCTGTTAAGTCTCTTCTCATCCTAGCTAAAGCCTTATGTCCTCTTAACAGCCTTTGCTATTTCATCCCCCTTTAGTCACACTGAATCATATTCCAAAATTTTTATCTCTCCTTCTCTGGTAATAGATCTTCCATGACAATAGATAAGAAATCACTTTCCAAGTTTGATTTTGTGAAGGATCTACCATATTGCTCCATTCATGGAGAAAAAAAATAAACAGAGAAACAGCTTATGAGACATGTTGGCACCCAGGCTGTCATCATTAGTGAAAAGATGGCAATGACAGGGTAGGGACAAGATTGACTAAGAAGAGTTCTAGACCATGAACAAGAACAATGTGTACAAAGAAATGAGGAAAAAATGAAAGTCATAAGCTTTGAGATGTGACTTGAAGCACCAATCCGAGAAGAAAAACATGATGTCATTATATATGATGTTGAGAGAACAAAGTGGTGTTGAATTCTGGAAAGAAGGAAGCTGAAACATGCAAGGTGAGAAACAGCCAGGTCCAACTGAGATCTCTGGCAGTGCCAATCAAAGCAGAAGGAGAAATCTGACTCTTATTAGTACTATTCATGCAGAAGTCACATTGCCCTTTCATCACCAAAATACAGGAAAGACAGTGGAGCACACAAGAGATGCCAAAAGCATGAACCCGGATGGCCTGAGGGAAAGGTGAGGAACTTGGCTTTGATTTTTCTGTGTGAAAATTTCCACACAGCTCGCACCATCCCACTAAAAGTAGGCTCCCACTAACTGGTGTAACAGGTTTTAAAGTTCTGCAGTGGTTTTTACCCACATTATGCTCAGTCCTACACAGCACAATCAGGTGCTCAGTCACAACATACGCCTTGGGAAAAAAATAAACTGCTGCTCTAAGTGATGAAAGAACTCGCAGCAGGGATAGGCAACACCAGGAATACACTGATAGCAGCAGTTCTAGACAGGGCCCCCTCATCTAGCCAAAGCCACAGATATTAGAGGGAGGAAGGGCACCTCCAAATCCAAACTTAGTTACCTAGATTTTAAGACCTTAAATCATATATAAAAAATAATAGTAATATTCAAGTCCTTGCCATTGACATATCATAAATCTTAACCCCTAACGCTTTTGCTGCTTTCATTTTGCACTATCTGTTTCACCATCAGCAAGAACACAGAATTAAATGCTTGGCTTTTTTTGTGTGTGTTAAATAGGAAAATAGAGTCTATTACCATTTACATGTATGAAATAGCTTCCTCATTCAACTCTTTGAATCACTGTAGATGAAGGAGTCTGTCAACTCCAAGAACATGGGAGACAAAGGATGACTTGCAGCAAAACTCCAAGGGAACTTTCAGAATTGCCAAGTTTAGGAGAAGATACGTTACTGTCATCAGAGTCAACAAATTCCAAGAAAGGAAGTAATTTAGTCTATTTTGAAAGTATATTCTGTCCCAAACAGATGAATTGCACATGTTCGTGCCAATCTTCACAAAAAGGAAATAAACACATATATTTAGATTGGAGGATAAAGTCAGCCTCAATTTCACAACAGGCTATTTCATTCTGTCAGCTTGTATTTAAGAGCTTTCATATCTACTTTAAGCAAAGTTCCCCTGCTTCTCTTATATCATGTAAATTATTTAAGTATAGAAGTCTTAAGCATTGTCTATTTACTGCCTTCAGCTCCCACTTCATCATCCTTTCTGACTTCACAGTAAATATATACTGAAACACATAAGCACAGAGAAATACAATTTCAAAGCGTTTGAGATCACAAGCTTCTCACTAGAGTAAAAATAGTTAAAATGCACTTATAAAAGTAATTAAAAGTTGATACCAAATCTCATCAGTACCAATCAGCAAATAATGTATAATATGCAGCCTAATTCAAAGATTAATAAAGAACCTCAAAACAATGGTCAAGCTCTGTAGATATGATCCCAGTGGCATAACCCCAGCTACAAGAGCTGGATAGATGTATGCAATATAGGCAGGCACTGCCACCAGCATGAAGATTCTACAGCAGTTATCTTTTAAATTGTATAAAAACTGATATAAAATATTACATCTGCATTTTACAGGAATTAAAACAAGAAAAAACTAACACCTACCATACTTAAAATTTTTAAAAGGAGGAGGAAGTCCTGTTCTTGAAGACACATCTATTAAAATAAAAGCACCAAGTGAAAACAAAGTTGTCCTTTTTTATATCCACTATTTAATTTTCTATTATCGTGCAATGTATGCATCCTGGACATCCTTTACATCAAAATAAATCCACAACACAGGAGGCTTATTTGAGTAAAAAATACTAAAACACAACCTTTGGCTCAGATTCTATAGTTATGATTCTACAGTTAGATTCTTTATGTTCTGAAAGTGCTTGTAGTTTTCTAAAAGCATGAAAGTTGCTGAAAACACAATACAGCCGTGAGGCTCAGGGCAGTGTCCTAGGAGTTGCTCAAACATTATCAGCTGTAACAGTTTGAGACTTGTTTGAACTGACTTCATGCAAAAAAAAAAAATATCAAAAATTATACTATTCTGCACCCTTTGAATGTCTCCATTTAGGTGTGTAGCAATACACCTGCAAGATTAGGGTAACACCCTGAGTCCCTGCGTGGGCTGGTCTACATTAATTATCTGTTAGATACACTGTCACTCTCAACCAGGCTTCTAAAACATAAAGCCCATAGATGAGTAAATTTGCACCACAAAGCTCAAGATGGAGACAGAAACTCAGAAGCAAACATGCACAATGTCAAAAACAATTCTTCAAGATCCTCTCTTCTCACAAATAGCAAACAGACTTGCATCCCCACATTCCACATATTGGTGTAGTTCCTAAGGATCAAAGGCTCTCTAAATTCTATTAATTTACTCCTGTTAATTTATGAATAGTTGCCTGACAGCACCACTGAAGGAGCCAGAGGCACTGAGCCAAATGCAGCAATGCCCCTGGCTCTTTTTGACTAAACATGGGGATTTGGGCAGGGGGAGCAGTCTATCCAAATTTAGGCATGGCACACCAATCATGGGAGCTCTTATTGACTCCAGACCTCTCATCCAAGAGAGAAGAGAACACAGGGGATGTAAACACAAATCTGGCATCTCTACCAAAGCTGCAGAATTCCCATTCATTTGCTCCCCTCCACTTTCTTGTGTAGAGACAGCAACACATGGGACTGAAACAAATGAATAAAGCAACTGCCCCTTACCCTTCCGCACAAAAGTAATGAACTGCTTTACTGTCTGATCCAAGTTAACTCCATGATACACCACAGGTCTGAAATTCCGGTGTTCAAAAGAACGAACAAGACGAACTGTGATGGTTGAGCTTTCTGGTGACATGAAAATTAATTCTGAATAACCTGGAAAACATTAAAGAAGGAATTACTGCCTTTCCTCTGTGTACAAGCACAGCTAGAAAACAAGGTGCAGGTGGACCTCATTCAAAGGTTAAAACATGGCAAGAAATTCAATAGCATTATGTCTCTCAGGACTTCACTTTTAGTATTTCTACACAGGCAGTAACACAACCCCAAAACAAACAGGGTTACCTAGGATATTATTGACACTGCACACCAAATACTCCCATATTTGTACCTGTGCTGTGTACTACCACACCAGACTCCATATTAAACACACAAAAATGTTATGGATAAATGCAAGTATGTCATTTTGGTTTTAAGTAACTGAAGACTTTACCTCCTGTGTGAGTAACCTTGTGTTCTGAAAGAATGTACTAACATGAACAAAACCAAAATCTTTTTAGTATGTTGTAGAGACCATAATACGCTGAAAAATGCCTAAGCTGTTACACAGAGCTCATTTTCACCCACCAACAAAAAAATGGAAATACCTCCCACATGTACACATGCAAATAAATTTCCTGGTATACTACTACATAATTAAGCCTGTTAATATAATTTATAATTAGCAGGTCTCTAGAATGGCTCTACAGGGCTTATACTACCTTAACAGAGAGCAGAACCTACAATGGAATTGCCTTATCAGCCTGAGCCCCTCTTCAGACAAGTCCACGCATTGTTCCGTTGGGTTCTTTCTCTCCACAGGAAAACGAGCTATTTCCTATCTCTGCAACCTTCTCTATTTTTTGTGCTGGGTATTCCTGTACAGCCTCACTTTCTGGTCACATGCTAAACTGCCATGGCTGCTGCAGCAATGAGCAAACACTGAAGTCTAAGTGCTGCAACATCAGCCAGGGGCACAGCACGACCTCTGTGTCTCCTATCCCGTCACAGCCATTTCAGTCACCACTTCCAGGCCTGTAAGGGAATCTCTTACCTCTTCATCCCTTTATGTTTTGTCTTTGGGTTTTGGTTGGGTTTTTTTTCCCCCCATTTTTTGTTGTTTCAGGAGAATATTTAAGGACCCCACCATCATGCAGGTATCCAGGTACCTCCCAGTCTTGGCTGTAATTGTCCTAGCTGTATCCTAGCAAAGTAAATCAGCAGTATATTCTTCAAATACTTTCTGCAGAATGGGGATGCAGACCTTCCACATCACGAGGCAACTTGGAAATCCCTTTGCTTAATTCCCAGAGCTCTAATTCCATTCTAATTGTAAGTAAGTTAAAATATGCAGTTAAAAGATGCCAATCAAGAAAAGCATACTTTACACCTGAAAATAACTGTAATTATATTAAACAGCAAAGATAGGTATTTTGTTGATGCTGTTTCACATGGGCTTAAGATCTGGAGGGCACAGTACAGAGTAAGGAAAGGGGGACAGCATTCAATTCACTTTCTCCTGAGCTGCATGGAAGAACATTGCAGGAACACAGATTTGGGAGCACAATTAAAAATCGCCTATTTTCACATTTACTGTACAGACTGATCGCATCTAGGGCTGGGACCAAATACTACCCAGCGCCTCCTTAGGAACACGACAGACCCTCCTCAGGCCGCCTCCCGGGTCGGAGACGCTGGTGGTCAATTCCTCTTGTGAGGAGGAACCTCTCCCGGGCCTGCCCGGCTCCTGCCCGCGGGCAGCAGCCCCAGTACCGGTGGCGGAGCGCCGCCCGCCCCAGCGCACCTCTTCCAGACCGAGCGTGCTCTCCTCAGCCCTCACAGCCCTCCCCTCCCCGTCCCGCCCGGAAAGGCCCGTTACCGGCCCTCATCCTTACGACTGACTCCGCGCCGACACTTCCGGGTCCCGCTCCTCGCCCCGCCTCTCACACCGTCCCACCAATCACGTGTTACCGGTGCCACCCACTGCACCGAAGGATTGGCTACGATGCGCCCTATCCCCGCCCCCTCCGCGCGCCTCCGAGCAGCCGCGGGGCTGGGCGGGGCTTCCCGCGGCCCCGCCCCCGAAGCGCTCCCGTTGGCCGCTCCCCTCATGCTAGCGAGCGTCGCGGCCCCCCGAAGCCCGCCCATCCTGCGCCGCCTCCGCATTGGTCCTTTGCCTGGCTTCTCCCCGCCCCCGGCAGGCGCCGATTGGCCAGCGGGCGCTCTGGCCACGGGTGAAGCGGGCGAGCGGCCGGGGCGGCGCGGCAGACGCCAGGGGGTCGGGTGCGCAGCGGGCTCGTCACTATGTCAGAGGTACGGGCCGTGCTGGGGGGGTGGCGGCGGGTACCTCCCTCTGTCCCTGTTTGGCGGTGGCAGCCCGCGGGTGCTCACCCCCACCCCGCCCCGGGGCTTTTCCCCTTCCCCTCTAGGCCGAGTTCCAGAAGGCCGCTGAGGAGGTGAAGCAGCTCAAGTCCCAGCCCACGGACCAGGAGATGCTGGATGTCTACAGCCACTACAAACAGGCCACGGTGGGCGACGTGAACACGGGTAGGTGGCCTCGGTCCCCGCGCTGGGTGGGAGGTGGCGGCGGCCGGGCAGCGCCGCCCCGCGCCCCTCTGGGGCCCTGCGCCTCTGTGCCGCGGCCTCCGGCGGGCGGGGGCGATGCGGTTATGGCCTGAGGCCGAGCTGGAGGCACTTGGGGAAGCAAAACCTCTCCCCTATTGCGTGCGTCGCTTCGTGCAATCCCACAGTTTAGCAAAAATGACTCAGTACCGACTTGGCATGGATTTATACGCAGGGAGGCATGAGCTGAAGTGATAAGGGTTTGTGCAATTTGTGTTTTTCTGATTAACCCAGCTGCAATCATCTAAATCGTGTAGCAACGGTCTGAGAATCCTGTGTGTTAGCTTTGTGCAAATATTGGGTTTCGGATTTTTGGAGACCTCTATCAGTAAGTAGCTGCCTAGGTCAAGGGATGCTGCTTTAATACAAACACTTCTCAGTTAAACAGGCTTAAACAGCAAAGCAAGCTATACAACTGTGCAATTGCAGTACTTGGTGGGAGGCAGTTTGTTTAAACTGGATTGGCTGCTGAAAATGATACTGGAAGGCCAAAACAGAAGATCATGAGAAAACTTTTATAGTAGCTGCAATTAAATATCATGTCTTGGAAGGACGGTAGCAGAAAAATTTCTGCAGGTGTGCTATGCAGATTGTCTCTGGCTGCTTTTTTGGCTACACTTCTGTAACTGGTAGCTCAGTTTAGGAATAGCATTTAGAATGAAACCTGCCTCTATTGACCTTATGTAACACTTGAGTAACTAGAATTAGAAAGGAGAAAGGTCATTTGTTTCAAGCGCTGGCCTTCTGACCCAGTTGCTGGTGAAGTTTATTGGATGTTGATTGAACGAAAAGCTGGCAGTGAATTGTACAGGAAATGGTAAGTGTGGGCGCTTGCAGTCTCTTTTGCCCCAAGATGGGCAACATGGAGTGAGAACAAAACTGACTTTGGTTTTAAAATAAGGATCCTTTTGGTGTGGCTGAATCTTAGCATTATTAGTGTTTGTCAAGGCATAATGGTGCTCTAGAGCTGTTAATATACGAACATTTCTGTCAGTTGCTCATTCTTGTGAAACAGTAGGTAACATGAGTTGGCTAGAAAAGCAATCTGTGTAAGAGTAAGCTAATAGGGTTTTTGTTGGAGAGAAGTGGAGCTGCCAACTAGCTCTGCAGGTCACATTGCCATCTGAGCAGCACAAGGGTATTTTTGTGGCCAGTGTCCAGTTCCATTTGTAAATCCTGAAAATTGTCTTTAAGGAGACAGAGAAGAAGTAAAAATGCAGAGGGGATTTTATGTGAAGAATAACTATATACGCATCCATATCTCATTCATTTATTCTCTGTTTGAACACAGCGTAACGTGCAATACAGTCAGTTAGAATTCAGAGCTTATACCCCTAGATGACAGAACAAATTAAGAGCTTTATGTCAGAAACATCCCATTAACTTGACGATAATGAGTTATAAGATGTATGCTACTAGCTTTTGTTTTCATGTCTCTGCATGTAGTGGACCTTAGGGCGCTTCTGCTTTACTTCAGAGCTGATGTTCTTTAGTGGGATAGCTGTCATGCAACAGCAGTCCCTTCAGAAAGTATGATAACACTAAATCACACTATTTGGTGCTCTTCTGCTCAAATGCTGCTGTCTTAAAGGAACTTGATAGAGGGTATCTCTGTTGCCACCCGTAGTGTTCTAACATGCTCACTTGAGGTGATCTCCTGACCACAGGTTAGTAAGTAATAGCTGCAAAGGTGAATCAATTTATTTTACCATAGTTAAGAACTGAATAGCCTTCAGGAAAGAGTAGGTATTACCTACACTCAGACCACGCAAACTAAATCTCCTGTTTATCCTGTCTCTCAGACCGCCCTGGTATGCTGGAATTCAAAGGCAAAGCAAAGTGGGATGCCTGGAATGCATTGAAAGGTAAGTGTCTGCTTAAAAAATGAAAATGAATAAATAAAACCGCAGGCAAACTAGTCAGAAAAGCATATGTGGCTCAGCAAGACATAAAACCAGTGTTGTCTTATAAGAGTTCTAGAAATTCAGAATGCTGTGATAATAAACTCTTACCTTTTGATTACCTCTGCAAGGTGGAGTTTTGAAAAATATAGCCTGTGTGAAAGGGAATTAAGGTGCAAAATGCCCAGCTGATCCAGGGTGTTACACAAAGGAGAGCTGTAGCAACAGCAGAAACCTACATCTGTTTTCCAAGTCCCAGCATAGTGCCCTGGAGATTGAGATCTCCCTACAGTTGTGCAAGCTTCCCTAACTGGAAGATGCAACTGGGCTCTCTGCTGTAAATGAGGAGTCAAGCATGTGGTCTAATCTGTGAAAATGGGATTTTTCAGGTGTTTTAAGGAGCTAGTACTACATCTAAATACAATGTAAGTTGATTGAATAACTTCCCTGTAATAATTTTGAATGGTGTTAATAGAACTAATACACTGTTTAGTTGCTGTCTATACAAATACAACTCTGCTTCGGAACACTGTTTTCTCATGACTGCTGAACACGTTTAATACTAGATTCATAGCCAAATGACCTCGTTGTCTTTGCTCTCTGGTAGCATGCTGCTTGATTTACAGAAGTACATAGGGATAAAATCTATCATTACATACCTGTCTAGGTAAATACATAGTTCTGTGCTAAGTTACAGAGGCTTTGCTGGGTGTATATAGCAAGGAATTGTGATTTAAATGTAAAAGGTATCTTAATCAGTAAAAGGTATCTGACTGCTTCCTGTGTTCTGTCCTTCAGGAATGTCCAAAGAAGATGCAATGAAAGCTTACGTAGCAAAGGTGGAAGAACTAAAGGGCAAATACGGCATCTGAGGACTGGACATAGCAGCCACTTGCACACCTGAAACATGCCTTATTTCTAATACTGTGGAAAACTGGTTTCTGATAATAATTTTAAATACCTAGTATATTACAGTCGGTTCTTCTCATGCCTGTAGGTCAGGGGAGTTGTGTATCTGCCTAATGTACTGACACGTTATAAATTCCTTCTGGGAACAAAACCTGGAACTCATTAAAGTGCATTTGGTACTTTAGTTGTTGTGATGGTCATCCTTTAAAGATTATTCTGAGCCCATCCCTTAATTGCTGTGTGGCGGCTGCCAAACCCTTCCTAGTAAGGCTCAAGCCAGCCTCTCCAGTCCTGGTGCCACTAGAGGGGGCTCAGTAATCTGTGTTTTGCGAAACGCGGACCCGTGTCCAAACCAGCCGGCTCTTGTCAGATGCTGCTTTGCCTCCTTTCTCACGTAGATGAGCGGCAACCCACAGAAGTGGGAGCACCACCAAGATTGTCATGAAGAGGTTGGGTCTAATGCTCTGCTAAGAATAAGCTGCTTTATATTTGTTGCTTTGGGCTTTCAGAGACTTGGTCAACAATTGCCAAATCATATTTCTTAAAACACTGCTTGTTGATGTTATTCCCCAACAGTAATGTTAGGCTGATGGACAGAAGGCAAATACTCGGCAGTTGAACCTAAAACCTTCCCTGTGAAAGAAAATGTACTGCAGACAGCGGAGTTGATGCCATTGATAGTGTGCTGCTGTGAATACAGAGTACTGGTGTTGCCACGTACTGAGGCTACACTGAGGAGTGAATCCTGTATAGACTGGTTTAAAATGGACAAGGTGTCCAAACAGGAAGACTTAGTGATCATCATCAAAAGTTTTATTACAGAACTCACAGCTGTGACCATCTCTAGTAGGCTTTTACCTGCTTTGGTCTGCCTAGTATAGTCTGTGGAGCTGCTGATGCTGGAAAGGGAGGCTTTGCTTTTAAAATGGGACATTGAACTGTTTCAGCATAGAACATATGAGAATGAAGTCCCAAACCTATATGGGAACAAGGCATTTTAATTCCTGCTGTACTGGTTAGCATCTGAACAGGTGAGGACTTCAAATGGTCTTCAGGTAAGCAACTGTTTTACAGAAATATGTAGGGATGAAACCTATCATTACATATCTAAGTAAATACATAGTTCTGTACTAAGTTACACAGGCTTTGCTGTGTGTAATTTGTATTTTCTTATGTCACTGGTAAGAGATGGAGATAACTTTACCTCATCCTTTCAAAAATTTTAACTTTTTCCCTTTGCTACCTTTAATGGGAAATGCTCTTAGAGCTACTTGTTCACCCTTTAAAATGTGTTAGGATAAAAATGAGCTTGTTTCCTGTTCTCATAAGAAAAAAATGTTTATTCTTGTTCTTCTGGGTAAGTAATAAAAACATTTGGGGTTTTTTACCTCCTCTTGTATCCTATGTTAGTTATTTGAGATTGTGTTAA